GATCACAGGAATAAATGATATTTTATATTATATTCAAATAGAAGACCCTTATTTTAAATTATAATAATATTTCACAATATTACAGTTTTTTTTTTTTTTATCAAATCAATGCAGGCTTGATGAGCATAAGAGACTTTTTTCAAAAACATTAAAAATAGTAATGTTTCCAAACTTTTGACCAGTACTACTGCAGGTATGATTTTTTATCTTTTTTAATCTTCATTGCTACTTCTAGCACATTTACGGCATTTGTATAAAATCTACAATTACAAATGCCATAAATGTAATAGCAGGAAGATTGTTTATTATTACAGTTTCCATTTTTTAAAATATCACACCTGCAGTTGGTGTTACTACAGTAAATCCATTGTGAATTTTTCCAAGGATTTGCACGGCAAACCTGGTTTCTCAATAATAAATGTTCAAGGTACTAACAGTATTCATCGCCTCAAACTGTGCACTGCAGTGTCGATTCGTTCTGGTTGCAGGCCCCCAGGGACACACCCACATCCCGCTCTCAACAAGGTCCTTTGACATTGGGAAGCCTCTTCAATTCCCCTCTGTACTCTGATGTCATCTTCATGGTCCAAGGCAAGAGTCAATGCTAGCCCTGCATGTGCATGGACATGTAAACACACCATTATCATTTTTATGCTATTTACACACTACAATAGTAGTTATTAATATTTTTAAATGGCTTTTATAGTTTTATTTTAGTTTGAGTCATTTTAGTACTTGCTAAGACAACATTTCTAATGATTTTTAATAGTTTTAAATTTAGTTTTAGTTCACAAAAACAACCCTGAAACACACACACAGGCACACACAATGGCACATTGATTCTGAGTTTAAAGTGGTCCTGTAAGTACAAGAGAAGGGCTTGTGTGTGTCAGAGCGCCTCTGTAATGCTGTGAGTGTGCTTCTGTGCGTGTGTTTTTAGGAAGCGTGCTGCCAGCGCACAGAGCCGTACTTGTGGCCCGCTGCGATGTTATGGCTGCCATGTTTAGTGGGAAGTACGCAGAGGCACGAAGTCGCGTGGTGCCAATCCACGGAGTTTCGTCTGATACCTTCCTAGCTTTCCTGGAGTACCTCTACACTGACACCTGCTGTCCAGGTAAGGATGTGCTTTTCAAGACAAAGGGATAACAATGCAAATAGACCTTATTCAGAGCAGCGCCATGACAGGTATGAAAGCGAGGCTGTGAGGAAAAGACTTGCCGTGTTTTCAATGGCATCTGCTGTAGAAAGCTCCTAGATCACTTATCATTTTCCACAGCTCATATTGTCGGGAGTTTTGTCTACGGAAATGTCTTAGAAATATATTTTTGAAGTGTTTCGTCAGCAGAACAATCCAACAACCCACGGAAGACACGCATGTCTATCCCTCACAGCCTCGCTTTTATTCCTGTTGAAAATCAAAGATGACGCTGCTGTGAATAAGGTCTGTTGCCATCAATTACTCACCCTCATGTCCTTCTAAACCTGTATGACTTTCTTTCTTCTGTTAAACACAAAAGATCTTATGAAGAATGTTTCTGCTTTTGTACACACAATTAAAGTCAGTGGAGTCCAGAACAATACTGGGCCCCATTGACTTACATTGTATGGACATTAAACAACACTTGAGAAAAAAGATGGAAACAAAGACTGAGCTTGATTGACAGTGGGCGAATATGAGCCGAGGTTGATGGATGGATGGATGGTGTGTGTGTTCAGCCAGTGTGTTGCAGGCCATGGCCGTGCTCGTGTGCGCAGAGATGTACCAGGTGAAACGACTGCAGCACCTGTGTGAGGTATGCGTCTGCGCGTATCTTCAGAACATGCCCAGTCGAGAGCTGGTGTCTACGGGCATCAGCGTGATTCGCTTACTGAAGAAAGCAAAGGTGGGTCAAAGGGGTGTGTTTGATTAAAGGTTTCGCTCATTTGCTTTGAGTGCTTTGGATCCGTAATATCACTATAAAAGTACAACTATGTATGGAAGAAAAATGAACATTACTGGGATGTTATAAAGGCCACGTTCACACAGCAGCAGAATACAGTTGTCAGTGCATTCAGTATTTGAGTCCTTAATACGTTCACAGTTATTTACGGTAGGCTATAATCACAACCGCATTCTATAACCAAACTCACACAAGTACATTTCCAGGACTCACAACCGCATTCTTGGAAATTACCTGCGCTGTGTGAACGGAACCACACTGGGCAACTAGTAGTCTGTCACGTCATACAGCGCTGGGCTGCACAAATGTGTGTCAGCCATGTGTTGTTGGTTTGGATGTGTGGTTTTGCTTTCGGTAACTTACAGCGATGGAGATATGAGGGTTTTAGATCCAGTCAACATAGCCTCTCCCATCAGTTTTGTGTTTTATGTGCGACTCAAATGCTCCACTCTCCACTAGATATAAACATGGTTAACCCTCACGTTCTCCTCGTTTCCTGTTTACACTCGTGGCGTTTGAACAATTCTAGAGGGATTTTTTAATATACAAATTATTTTTTCTTCTCATCTATATGTTTATGCTGTGTTTTGATCGATATGAATTACTTTTTTACCTATTTACTGTACAATTCCTATTCCTAACTATTAGCATGCATATGAAAAATGACATATTTATGAAAAACAAAAACACTGTAATGATCAAAATTAAATATGAGTTGTTTCTGGAGATTTATCTAGGTGTTAGATGCAGAATTCTGCTATCTGCTGGTTAGAGAAAAATCTGTAGGAAACACAGTTTTAGAAAAAAGTGTATTAACCATATACATCCACAGCAGAGGCCCATTTGAGATCCATTCATTTTTCTGGATGTGGCTAACTGCTCGTAAAACACATGTTGTCGTATATATTTTGTGAATATACATTTAAACATTATAAAATACATTAAATCAGTATTTCTGTCAAAGTTTAGAAATTGTTATTGTTGTTTAAAGTGTCTTGTTTTTGCAATAATTCCATATAAGTTGCCACTAAAAGATAAGACTTGATTGTAAGCACATATTATTTCAATAATTCAACTGTATAAAAAATAATAATTTTTAAAAGTAAATACAACCAACAAAAAAATAGCAATAAGCAGTGAACACCTGTGTTTGTGTGTGCGCACGTGTTTGTGTGATCATGTTCATTCCACATTGCATTTGTGCTCTAGTACCAGGCCTTCATTTATATTTGGATATTTTCAGATTTATGCTGGATTTATTTTTTTGACAAATGAAAAACTTTTTTTTTCCCGCGTTTCCCATTCATTTTTAATTGGGCCAAACGAGTGTGACTTTTTTTTTACTCCCCTTCAGAACAACCAAATCAAGCCCAGGTTTGTGTGTGTGTGTGTGTGTGTGTGTGTAGATAGATAATCTTGAAAAAGTCACACAATTTTATGGAACTGAGATGAAAGCAAACCATGTTTTTTTAACTAAGGAAAAGTCCAATGCAACTGAATGTAAATTGAGGGTCAAGAACAATGCAACATGGGATATAATATGGGCAATGTGTTTCTACCAGTGTAGCCTATTTTATTTGTAATAGTATTATTTAGGGTACGTTTACACAACGATATATGCTTAAAACAGAGAAGTTTTCCGCGTACAGGCGACACCATTGTCAAAACGATCCCCATTCACATGGATCCGCGAAAACTACTAAAAACATTATTCTGCTGCCAGGCCATTAGATGGCGATGAAACACTATAGATAGAACACACATGTGCATGACATCATCGTCTTCAGAGATTCGCGTTTTTGTTGTTTACACGGAGACCGTTTTCAAAAATTTGCACCAACCCATTTTCAAAAGTTTATATTATTTATATTCCATGCACCCAGAACGCCGTTGTCATGTAAATGAACGACCAAAACGCATAAAAAGTTTTACATTTTTAGTTGAGATTGGTGTCGTGTAAACAGCCCCTTATATTGTATTTTTAACATATTTTTAAATTAGCTTTTATTTTTGTATTTTCAGTTTTCTTTAGAATTTTTTTCTTTTTTTCTAATTGATGTGCTTTTGTCAGGTTTTTTTTATATTAATACACGTAATTTGTTTTTATTTCAATAATTTTTTTGTGCTTCAGCTTAAACTTATTTCAAATAGCTTTCTAAATGGTCAATTTTTCATCTAAGGGTACACTACAACGATGTACTAAAAACGGAACTTTTTTTGCGACAACGTTGTCAAAACAACCCCAGTTCACACGGATCTGCGAAAACTATTAAAAACGCTGTATTATGCATGCCAGGCCAGTAGTTGGCGATGTCACTTTCTAAAGAAACACTAAGCACCTATAGACTGAACACATAACGTCACCATTTTCACAAATTCACGTTTTTGTAATTTATATGGCGATGATAACTGTATCATTTTTAAAAACCTGTTTTCAAAAGTTTGTTTTCAAGTTTAAAAAATGCTAGGTCATTGGGTTTTCCAAAAATTGGTCATTTGGTTTTGCTTACAAATTTGCAAAGAAATTATATTTTTATGGTAGTTTGACATTTGAAAAATACCTTCTGTGATACTTCCAACTTGTTTGTTAGTTAACATTCTATCTGCTCTTTTGCCACTCTCTGTCATCACAGTGTCACAACGCGGACCAACTATATGTCTGGCTCCTCCATTTCATCGCTAATAACTACCTGATCTTCAGCCACAAGCCTGACTTCCTGGAGCTATCAGGTGAGCCGTCCGCTTGACCACCTGGAAAGGATGTTTAAGCGCATTAGAATACAAGCACACACAATTATCTCTGACTGCTACAAAAACCAGTTACCAGCGCCCCGAACAGCTGGTGCTGCAGACAAGCCCATGCAAATCACGACCGGCTTCTGTCAAAAGCTTTATTAAGAAACACTAAGAGCAAATGTAAGGTCACTTTTGAAACGAATGAATCATTTTCACACCCTATTAGTACATCCTGCCCTTCCACATGCACTTGGCAAATAAATAAAACAGTGTCACCTCATGAATGGTGTATAGATTTGTGAGTCAATGAATACAACAAGCAAGCAGTGACAGGAAAAGTTTTATTTTCATCACGCTCCCTTTAGGGTTATAAAGCAACCTTATAATTTCCTCATGCATTATCTAGTGAGAAACTCATATAGATATTATAGAGGCAATTACATTGTCAGCCTACATTACAATTGAAGTGAAAGATAAAGAGAAATCTGGTGGACGGATATAACGCTCCGTTTAAATGCTTTGAAGGGGTGGGTTGCAGCCAGGAGATGTTGTCGCAATACTTTCTTAGTCCCGGTGATGCTTTTTTTGCCAGACGAGGAGCGTGAGCAGGTGGAACGTCTGCGCTGGCCCTCCAGAGGTTACCTACAGGAGCTCAGCGAGTACCAGCAACGCAGGCGGCAGGTCCGCAAGTCTCGCTGCAGCATCATGTGACCCCTTCTTGACGCCCTACGGACCGGAAGGGAGGGCGAAAAACAGAGGATGCAAGATTCATTTACATGCAGGATAAAAGAGACCTATGTTTGACCTCTGGTGGATTCTGATATACTGTATTTACACATGAACTTTGACCACTGAGCCTGTGATATAAAGCGGACAGCTGTGAACTCTCACTGGATTTGAGTGGATCCTGTGTGACGATGTCATATAGAGCCCTTCTACGTGGATACTGTACCTTCTGTACAAACGATTACACCTGATTGGTGCAATAAACTTCCTCTGCGATGGATTAAAACGTATTAAACAGGGTAGGGTCAACCTTATAGTCTCTCCAGAGATTGATATTTCACTCTCATGGTCAGCCATGTTTTGTCATGGTGAGATTTCTTTCTTTATGAATTCAGTGGTTACTCCGGCAATATGACTTGAAAAAACTTCAAATATTTAAGTTATCTCTGATTTGAATTTGATGCAACTATTTTTGTAACATGTACATCTGAGATTTTTATTTCAACTAATAACATACGAAGTACGCATCCAGCATGTGGATCGCCTGTTAGTGCAGTTGGTGTGGTCAACGTAGAGCCGATTCTGGCTGTCTTTAGTCTAGTCCAGTTTTGTTGACCATCATCTCATGCTGAATAAAGACATTTTAGAAGGATGTGTGTTTGTTCTTAGTGTTTGTGACTTAAATCTAAACCTGTGGTTCTCAACGGATGGATTGCGACCCAAAAATGGGTCATATGTCTGTTCTGATATGGTTGGTGATGATGGGGGAAAACAATGCTACTGTAGATGAAAGCTATGTATGCATGGTAAAAGACAGGGTTATTAAAAATATGAATAGTAACTATAATCTCAATGATATTACAATAACACTGGAGCCAAATTGCATTTAAATTAGAGGACAAATATGTTTTGTATTGACTGTGATATGTTTTGTTAAATGAAATTACTTAACGCGTCGCTGAGAGAAAAGGCAGTTTTTGAAAAAAACAAAAACATTTTTGTGTGTACGATACACAATTTTGCCACTGTCTGTGGCCACTTCACGTCCAATGTAAAATGCGGGCCCTGAAGCAAAACCAGTTGAGAACCACTGGTGTAATTGTGCTGTATATAATATTTACAATATTTCATAAAGAAGGACTGTGAAGTATACCCTCACTGCAGAGATCCGATAGCCTGCAACATGCCTTTCAGTTCTCCAGAACGGTCAAGACTTTCGACATCACTTCCTCCTCCAATACACTTCTCCCCTATGAAGACTCGAGGAACCTACACATATTGTACATGGAAAAAAAGCCTAGGTCTAAATAAACTTAATAAATGACAATGGAAATTAATCAAACATATAAATACTCATAAAGTTGTATTAAATACGTTATGTATTAAATAATATCTACAATGATCATGATTCATGGCCACGCGTGCAGGTCATGCTTGGTGACTCAGCTAAAAATTCGCTAATTAAAAAAAAAAGGTTTATTTAAAGTTACTTAAAGAGTCGCACATTACACTTTTTAGTCAATGTAATGTGGGCTGTTACGGTCTTATAACAAAAAATGTTCCATTGTAAAGTACTCACGGTGCGCGCCCCCGTGATCTGTTGCAGACAGTCTTGAATGCTGCCCATGTCACTGCGTCCGCTGATATCGATCAACTCCAAATGTCCACCTTTGAATTTATACTTTGACAAAACATCCTTCGCGAGTACGCAGTAAGGACAGGACGGCTTCAAAAACACAACTACTTTGTCACCCTTAATTTGAGCTCTAACAAATTCTGCCATTGTTCTTTACGTAACTAGCACAGCTTTTCATCACGAGTCAGCCTAGTGAAACAGAAACGAATCTTCCTTTGTTTACACCCTTAAAGGGTAGGGCGGGATTAAAGTTAACCACTCCTTGATAAAAAAAAAAAAAAGCCAATTTGTTGGAGGGAGCCACTATGGTGTTTGTTAAAGAATCCGGGTTCTGAAACGAATCCTTTAGAAAACGAATAGTTTTATTTCACTTTTGTTCACGGATGTCTCTTTGAACTGTGTGACCGCATTCCTGACTTTCACAGAACCAAATAGGATTCGACTGTGGACTGTGTAATTTAATCGGTTGGGTATATGTAAGGAATAATTGACGACGGGACTATTCCACTTTTTTGTGGAGAAATATATTTATTTATTATTCAGATTGAAGAGTTGGAAAGAAAACATATTTATAGGAACATTTGAGCAGTTTCAAGATGATTCATGTTATGCAGAGAAAATGATTCATTGTTTTAATCATGACACAGCCATAAAACATAAGGTTGGAGAAGCTGTTTTGAGTAAGTACTCACGACTGCTAAAAAAAGTACGTTCTAAATAGTATGCATGTAGTGTGTAATCTGGACGTACACCATGTGTTGTCATTATCATGTGACCTGCTACCAGCATCAGTTGTGTCCCTTCACGGCCATTCACAAATCATCTCCTGTGGCCTCATGGGATAGTAAAGTGTCCATCATATGCACACTTCAGAATCTCACCAGAAGGTGGTAATCCCATAGACAATAAAGGGTAAACTTTTTGCCTACTGTTTTGTCAGTACTGTGAATTCAAACATCCTTTGTCACATACTGTTTTTTGCCTATAGTAGGGAAGTATGCAATTTCGGATGCAGCATATAGCTTACTATTCCACTTTATTTGTGAATGGTCACTTGTAGGCCACATTATGACGACAACATGGCGATTGTAGTACGTCTGGATTACATTCATACTACACACATGTATAGAACATATTTTTCAGCGCTCGCAAAGGACCTAAAGGAAGCCCTAGTATGCGATTCTGTATTCAGACACTGTAGCCAGCGGCTGGCATAAAGATCTAGCCTGCAGAACGAGTCATTGAATGAGAACAGATTCATAAGATTCAAGTCACTAGGAGGAATTAAATGTCTACCAGAACATTTTTCAATTACATCACAAAATGTTCAATATTTTGAACAAAATTGAATAAAAAGCACAAAAAAGATATGAAGATATCTATACACTTGAATTATCCTGATCTGGTCCTGTTAAAACCAGATAGATGATCGCAAAACATACACATTTAACATCTTTCAATTGGTTAGTTTAGATCTTTGATGCACGGGGGTTTTAATAAGCAACTGTTCCAAACCAATGCTGTGGAAACACAGAGTGATATGCATTCATGGGTGAAAAAATAAAATAAATCAAGGCAGCAGATATGTTGTCAAGTTCACATTTTATTGAACTGATTTAATATATTTTAGGTGGACAGGTCAGGAATTCTTACAGTCTGAAACAACCCCCATTCCACCTTTAAAACAAGAGATGACAGTGTTATGAGATTCTTGGCTTATTATCCAACATTAACATCTCTCTTTAGTGGTGTCAGAGGCACAGTCTCTTCAAAAGGGAAAGAATACAGGTGTTGGTCTCACACACACACACACCACCAAATACTTCCCCATCCAGCCCAAATTACAATGATACCAGGTTCTGTGTAGATGCACATTCTTCCTTCCAAGCAACACTTCTTAGTGTCATCCCAAAATCTTTAGGGTTCAGTGTGGAGGCTATTTGAATGCTGAGGAAATAAGCATCTGTGAAGTAAAGTGCTGCTGAATTTCTGTTAAATAGCCACGACTTGGATTCGTTTGTAATCAGACATTGCGATCAGTCTATAAATGGGGACTAAAATGAACAGAAGCTCACACAAAACATCTTGGTGAGTCTGAGAACACAAGTCCCTGAACAAAGCAGATAAGATGCCATCTGCCAACCCAAATACTGAAAACCAACATTTGTCGATGGTTATTTTGAGAATGGCTCACCCAGGTTTTTGAATTTCAATTAACAACACTGGAAAACAAAGGGGAACACCACCTCCCCACTTTTAACAATGGAATAATTATGATTCTAAGACGAGAGAGATCATTTGTTTTCAGATCCCGAAATGTGCAAATACAATGCAGCAAGCCTCAAGAATCAACTAGCCAATCAGAATCCACCCTGGAGTTATTTGATCCAGTGAGAATTTGCATAATTGCAAGCAATGGTAACAATTTTCAAGGCTGATTCACACAGCTGCATTCTGGATATTTTCCCTAAACAAAGATCAAAGAAAATAAATATTACCAAGACACCACAAGTGTTCGACCACCATCTTCTTTTAAATACCAAAGTGTCGCTCAGAGAAACGTGTCTTATTCCAGACTATCAACATAAGATTGAAAGGATTTTTGTTTCCTTTTTATTACTTTTTTTGGCAAAAATTCCTACCACACAGGTTTTGTAAACATAACGTTTCCCTTAATCTTTAAGAAGTTTATCACTCATGATACCGTCAAATGAAGACTTATATTTTTACGTAAATTTGATAAGTTTCTTTTTAATACTCAATTCCAGCAATTCCTTTTAATTCAAAAAAAACAAAAAACATAATATATATTGCTATTCATATTTCATAAATAACTCTGAGACTTGCAATAATTAATGAATACATTTGAAATGGATATACAGGTCTGCCTCTGCTCGATGCATTTCCTCATAAATCAGTAGCACCTTTGCCATTAAGATGGTTCGATCATTTTCTTAAACAGAGCAGGCCCAAATTAAGAACATGTAACATGAGCCAGGTTGATCCCGAATGCTCTGGCTGTTCAAAAAAAAAAAAAAAATAGCAGCTTTTTTTGGGATTTTTGTTTTCCGTTTTTTTTCCTCTTTTAGTCTATTTCCAACTCTCTTCCCCGAGCCTCTCTCTTCCTGTATTTTCTGACCCACAATCCTTCCCAAGAATGAACAAAAACACTGAATATTTTTCACACTCACTCACTCTCTCTCTCTCTCACCCACTATCTCACTATCTATCTCTCACTCACTATCTCTCTCTCTCACTATCTATCTCTCACACACTCACCATCTCTCACACACTCACCATCTCTCACACACTCACCATCTCTCACACACTCACCATCTCTCACACACTCACCATCTCTCACACACTCACCATCTCTCACACACTCACCATCTCTCACACACTCACTCACTCACCAGCTCTCTCACTCACTATCTCTCTCTCTCTCACCATCTCTCACACACTCACCATCTCTCACACACTCACCATCTCTCACACACTCACCATCTCTCACACACTCACCATCTCTCACACACTCACCCACCATCTCTCTCTCACTCACTAGCTCTCTCTCTCACTCACTATCTCTCTCTCTCTCTCTCTCTCTCTCTCTCTCTCTCTCTCTCTCTCTCTCTCTCTCTCTCTCTCTCTCTCTCTCTCTCTCTCTCACTCACTCAATATCTCTCTCTCACTATCTATCTCACTCACTCACTATCTCTCTCTCACTCACTCACTTTCCATGAATGTGCGGTGGACCTGTGACCAGGTCATAACTTCTCCCCACTGCCCCGGGTGCTTGTACGTCTCACTGATGCCACATTGTTATGTGTCTGTATTAATACCTTAAGGCATCATTTGCACTGTGGGCGTGAATACTGATGCTGTAAAAAAACAACAAAAAAAAACAACAGGGCCACTGGGAGAAAGGAAGTCTCAAGGCTCTTGGAAACACCCTCTTCTATGGCCACTTTTTCACATGTACTGGCTCGATCACCCCTGTGCAAAAGGCTTCAAGGAATATGCGTTGTAAGGCCCGCGGTTTTGGATTGCGTAACTTTTCTTTTTGCATTCAAAAATGTTTAATTTTTCTTTGTCCTTTTTTTCTTTCAAAAAAAGTCCTTCAAAAAGAAAGAGAATGAAGAATAAAAGGTATGGGAAAGGATGAACAAGGAAGAAAATAAGAAAAAGAGTGATGAAGGCGGCCAGGTATGGGAAACAGGCGAGTGGGGAATCTGTAAATAGAATAAATAAGGAGCTGTTTGATCCCCACACTCCCCTAAAGATGGTACTCCGGCTGAGGAGCGCTCTGATTGGCCGAGGTGTTTGCTTGGTCCCGTGCCCTACAGCCAGGACTGCGCCCTCCGCTGGTCGAAGTCAGCGATCAGCCTTTTGATGTGGGCCAGTTTGTTGTGCAGGTACTCACAGCGCTGTTTTTCTTCATAGTAGTTTGGGCTATGCTGTAAAACAAAGCGTCTCAATATACCATTTTCATTTAACAGTATGTTTGCTTACTAAAGGAGCCAGATGGGCAAGACATGCTCAGTTACACTTACTTGTTTAATTTTTTTGTATTCTTGCAGCACCTGTTCATGTACTTCCTGGAAGGAAAAGACAGACACTTATTGCATGCATAAATGTATACATAAATCATAGTTCTTCATATAAAGAAAATGTCACACAGTAAGTACATTAAAGCAAAACTTACCTGGTACTCTTTAGTTCCTGGAGCTAGACGCCTACACCGGTTGTCCAGTTTTGTAAAACGACGCGTAACGCTCTCAACACGGGCATGAAGGATACGATACTCATCATATTCCGCATTGAAGTCATCCTTATAGTGCTGCCTCTGATCCACAGATATCACTGCAGTGTACTTACTGGAATAAAACAACAAAAACACAATGAGACTTTAGATAGGCACTTTGTTCATTTCTTATATATAGTTTGTCCATTGAAGTAAAAAAAAAAAAATTTGTGTACATGTTAATATATACACATGCTTCCAATTAAAATTAAATGCAGAGGGTTTATGCGGAAACACACTATAAAGGAGTCAAAGTTCACTTACACTATGCAGAAACATGCACTACAAAGTAGTCAAAGTTCACTCACACTATGTAATCAGGCTTCGTTGGGATAGGCATTTCAGTGCTTTTGACAGGCTTGTCTTTGCCAGCTGTAAAGAGACACACCAGTCATGTACAAACATGAATTACCATTTACCATACTGCCGTTTCACAAGAACACGTAATACATGATCGTTGGGTCTTTAGGAACAGAATAACCTATATGATGTTTCTAAGCCTGCATTTATGCTGTATAAGCCAAACATTGGTGGTGGTTGAGGAGATTCCCCCTTCAATGTAAAGCGCTTTGAGTACACAGAAAAGCGCTATATAAATGTAACGAATTATTATTATAATTATAATTATTATTATTATAAGCCAAACGTAGCATAAAGCTATCAATCAGGCCTGACAATATGCTTACATTTTTAATTCACAATTCCTGGCATGCAGCTAATCATTTTTGGATCTTTGAAATGTGGCTGTTATTCGACTTAGTGGCACGGTTTACAAATCCTCATTTAACAAACATTGGTTGCATTCGGGAAATCCCAGGTTTTCTGTCGACTTTGATTCAGATCTTGTTGCAATTTGATTCAATGATTTATTAATAGCTTGTTTTCATATGACGTCACGCCACTGCGTTGCCATGGCGCGAAATGCAAATGGAGGGCAGGAAGTCATTTGCTGTATTTAGAAAGCACTATAACAAACTCAAAATGCCTGTGTTTTGCGTCGTTTATGGTTACTTAAATCGATCAAACCACGAGGAGTTTTTATCGTGTACCAAAAGTTGTTGTTCATAAGGGGGGAAAATGCAAGAAATTGACAGAAAAACTCCGGAAAAACGGCTTGCAAACCTACGTCTGCGGTCGGGAGGAGCCGAATGGGAAAATGCCCGTTTGTGCAGTGATCACTTCGTCAAAGGTGAGTTAATACAACCTAAGTGGCTATGTTTGTGTAACGTTTCCGAACTTTGTAAAGTCAAAGTAAGCCCTGTAAGACGAGGTAGTTGCTGATATCTACCGCCTCGATGGCGGGAAAATCTTTCAATTCAGTTGAAAATCACTCCTCTTCATAACGTAAGGATCACGTCCAACATATGTTTGATTTTTTATTTATATCTTTCTCTTGTAATAGCGTGTAAAGTAGTACAGTACGGACTTTCCTCCATCTCGTCCATTGCGCTCTTCACTCCCTGCCCTCCATCTGAATTTCGCACGTCATCATAATCACGTGACTGAAACCCAGCTATTCAGTGACTTGTTCAACCAATGACCAGTTGTCATTCAAATTAACGATCAATTAATCATTAATGCAAATGCCACAAAATGCATATGAAGGACGCAAATGCCACATGAAGTGCAAAACAAACCTTCTTTGTCCGATTCGTGGCTGATGTTGGCAGGAATGTGTTTATGTTCTGCCTCACTCCGGTGTTTCTTTCTGGGCTGTGCTTCCTTGTCACAGTGATCCTCCTTGCGATGCGCTCTATCCCTCTTCCGATCCTTTTCCTTATCCATCTCTCGTTCTCCTTCTCGCTTCTTCTCTTTATCTTTGTGCTTCTTGGACTTCTTGGGCTTTTTGCTGCCATTGCCATCACGGCTGGCTGTAGGAGACGCGGCAGAGGGAACGTGGAGGCCACTGCTGGTGGTAGTGGTGGAGGTGATGGTGGTTGTCGAGACAGTACAGGTAGAGAAGGATGAGGGGGAGGTCGTGGAAACCGGCTGGCTGGGAGGGCTAGGCGTGTGGTTGCGGGTCGCGTAGCTCTCCGAGGAGTTCCCACATATAGAGCTCTGGTCCAGGGGCAGATCCTGAGACCCCCGGCCCTCCGGCGTGCTGGGGGAATTTGAACTAGAGCCTGTGACAGGTGGAGGGTGAAAAGCAGGTCCAGGGCAGGCGGCCGTGGGTGCAGGTTTTTTGTCCCCAGTTTCCGAAGGATGGCGACCAGACAAGGAGGGAGGTCCTCGGTTACTGAGATGGGAGATTCGAGGCTTCTTAGACATCAGAGGATCGATGAAGTCGGCCTCAGGTTGCTGTTTCTGAATAGCAAGGGACAAAACATTATTCTTGTTTCAGGAAATTTCATGGAAATGCAAATAGTGACTATTTTTGTATGAAGCTAAACGTATAGAGAAAAGAAAGGTTTATATTATGTAAAAAATATTAATATTATATTAATATAAAATAAAGTATATATTGTTTATACTGCCTCCAGAGGGCGCAGGCTGATAGGTCCTTTACATCCAATCTGCAAGAAATTACATCATTGCTGCATGGTACAAGCTCTGCTGATCCTGCAGCCAATGTGGCTGCTTGCTTAATATTTAAATAGTCTGGTTCAGTGTTTGCTGTAGGGTAGTCCTGCAGCACATTATCAGAGTTCCTCTGAAACCCTCTACCTCCCCCAGTTCCACCTGTCTAGATCTGCTACGGGATTTATGTACATCTTACATACTCAGAGGCATGTCACTGTATCTATTAGCAGTAGCAAGTCCATACTTGCTCGGCAGCAGCATAGCAGATTTAGTCCAAGACCAAATACATTAACATTGCCATATTCCAAACACAAGCTAAAACTATTTTGACAGTTGCCATGATTGAATATACACATACGTGTGTGTGTGTGTGTTTGTGTCTGTGTATATGTATATATGAATAATTTATATATATGAAGAGTATCAAAATAAAATGTTTATGTATGTGTCATACCAGTGGGGATGTTGGCTCTTTGGTTGGGCTGCTGGATGAGACAGACTCTGAATTCAAGCCCAATTTACTGTTGGAGGGGGACAAAATTAAACTAATTCAAGCTTTGCAAAATACTCTTTAGATCTCCTGTACTGGCTCTCAAAAACGATTCATGTTCAATTACAAAGTCATTCTTCTTTTAATTGCATGTGACCCGCAAATCTTACCGTGCCAGGATCCTGTCAACCTGAACCCGTTCATCCTCCGTATAGCCCGGCCAATCCCTCTGGACCTCACGGAAGATAAAGTCTTTCAGCGAATACGAGTTATCCTTAGGGTTTAGATTGGCCACCTATTGGAATGGAAAATATTGTGTCAATTGCTTTTCCTTTGATTCAAATACAGGACATAGGACAAAAATACAATCATTTCAAATGAGAGAAAAAATAAATAAAAAAATAAATTAGGGTCTTAGGTTTAATTTATTTCATTTAATTAGTGGTGCTTGCTAAGGCAAGCTTGAATTTTGAACAAACATTGAATAAAGTATTAACCTAGCTTGTCTTAAACTGTTCAAAATCTAGTAAATTCTCGTTTAATGTAAAAATGTAAATGACCAATACTGTTTTAACTACTTCTGCATTTTTAGCAACTAAACTACTTGTACACATTTGATAGGCAAGGGAATGAACACTTTGCATCCTTGTTTAAGTCGGCATACTTAAGAGCGACAGATACACACACACTATAAATAGTAATGCAAATGGACAGTTAGGCAAAGGGATATAGTGTTACTTCTTACATTACAACCCAACGAGGGGACCGTTTCAGATTCTCAGTCCTTCCTTCATTTCCAAAGAAGGAGAGAAGCTGTTTTCATACTTCTCTATTCAAAGCCTGAATAAATTCCTTCTATACTTGATAGAAAAGGATGAGAACCACAATATTTCTCCTTTGAAACTAGTGGGGAGAACCGAAATTGCTCTTTCTACCCCTTTTGATGACAAAAGTCATTCTATGCAGGTCTCTTCAGCATGTGAGCTGTTTGAGCAAGCATGCATGTGCATAATTACACTAATAAGGTTAATTTATGGTTGCCTAATTTCCCACGTGCTATACATTCAGCTGTGGTGAATGCAAGTCTTTGTGTTTGGGCTGTTAAATGGTGACTTGCATTACGTGACACTGTGCTTCTGCAAAAGTGCCGTGAGTCAGTAGCCTATTAGATCACAGCTGTGATACTATCTATGCTTCAAGTCTCTGTCACCTATCCTGAACTAATATGAATGATTATGACAGTCCTCAAGCTGCATTCAAAGAACTTGCACAGCAAGTTAAGTGCCATTAATGCCTTTCTAGTCGGTCATCTTGCTCTTTAAACATTAAAGAATATGTGGGTTGAATACAAGTTAAAATGTAATCAACAGCACTTTCAGCATAATGTTGATTAATTTATTTTGACTTATCACTCTCCTTTAAAAAAAAAAAAGGTTACAGTGAGGCACTTACAATAGAATTGAATGGGGACAATTTGAGGATTTAAAGCAGAAATGTGGAGCTTATTTTGTTTAAACAGTCGTTTTAAAGGGGCTATGTGTAGGTTTTTACTTAAAAAAAATGTTTAACATAGAGTCTTCATTTGTACCTTTATGAGCCAACCATAATGTAATAGAATGAATGACACCTTGACTGTCCACCACGGTGGCCTCTATCAGCCTGTAGGCTCAATTGTGTGGAGGAGTCGGGTCCGAATTGGCGTGAAAATTCACAAAATGTGACGTCATGCGCGTTCTCGTCTACTTGGGCTTACATCCGTACGGCAGCCATTAGTAAGCAGCGGCAATCGCTAGCAGTAGTGTTTCAAATGGACTCTGCGGACGGAAAGAAGCGACCAGCCTCCAGCTCAATCCAGACACCCACGGAAACTCCTCGTAAGTTTAAAAAAAAGCCTTATCTAGTGCGGCCAACGAGCGTGCGCACCCAGAACGAGCATGAGACTGGCTGCAGTTTCTCGAACGGCCACTGGTGTCAGTAACGGTAAGAAATTTCAGAACTTCCGCAATGCTCCTTCAAGGTTTTAGGCATAGCAAAATTAGAATGTCAATGTGATTTAACTTTACACAGAAAAGGTACACTACCATTAAAAAGTTTAAACAATTAATACTTTTATTCAGTAAAGATGCATTACATTGATCAAAAGGGACCGTAAAGACAAAGTTATAAAAACATTTAAATAACTACTGTTCTTTTGGACTATTCATTCATTAATCCTAAAAAAAATGATCATGGTTTATACCATATTAAGCCGCACAACTGTTTTCAACATTGATAATTGTTTTATTGAGCAGCAAATCAGCATATAAGAATGATTACTGAAGGATCATGTGACTCTGAAGACTGGAGAAATTATGCTGAAAATTCAGCTTTCCAATGACAGATATAAATTACATAAAAATATATTAAAGACTGTCATTTTAAACTAATAATATTTCACAGTATTACTGTATTTTAATCATATAAATGCAGCCTTGGTGAGCATAAGAGGCATCTTACAAAAACATAAAAAAAGCATCTTACACTTCTTTAAATCTCAAAGGAAAGTGGAAATTAATTGCGTGGTGAATTAACATTAAGCCAGCTGTCGATTGAGCTTAACTTTTTTGCTTTAATCCTGAGAACTAAACTGATTCCACTCCACAATCTCACCTGGTGTAGTGTTGTGCCCATAGAGCTGCGATCTTTCTGGCTGACACCGTCTCTTTGGAGTCTGGCGAGCACCTCTAGCTTCTTGTAGGAGCGCAGGGCCAGGAGGTGAATGACGCGGTCCCGGTACGGACGTTGTGATACGGGGTTGTTGGTAAGGCACTTGCGGATGGTGTTGGCTGGGTTGAGGGGAGTGGTCTGCTTCCTCTCTGGAGCCGGGTCGGGGGCTGAGGGGGCCGGTTTTCGATGCTGGATTTTTTTGTCTATGCAAAAAAACATTCACAGAGAGACGTGTGTCTAGATGGTATATAATTTCCATTGGTGGGTAATACTGTCTAAGGGGCCTTTCACACAGAATGCGCTACTTTTCCATTGTTTTTCTATGTAAAATCGCAATACACAGACGTCTTCAACCGTTCCAGCATCTCACGCATGACACGGCATTCTAAAAACGTGGCGCTCGTTTCTGTGTGAACCGGCCCTAATACTGCTCATTTTCTCTACTGAAAAGGTCAAAAGATAACCAAGGAATACAAGACAGAAATTGCACATTCAATTTTAATTGAGCAACATTCATTTTGGAACATTCATTTCAATGAATTATATCTCATGTTTTTTTATTATTATTAGAGTTTAGACAATTAATTAGAGTTTTGATACCGAGTAGAGTTTATTTTCAGTATTGCCTGGTACCAAAATATAGTACCAAACCAATGCTTCTGACACTCTCCAAACAATATATATGTTCTTCAGAAAAGTTTCCTCAATTCTGAAATTCCTCATAAGTTATTTAAAAGATAAAGGGTAGCGACTCTTTAACCATCCTACTGTCTTCCTCTTATGGACTCTCCCTCGGTTTGCCCGAACATGTGCCGATGACTAGATGACATCCAGATACAAACTTTCGCTGTCTCACCTCCTGCCAGTCAGGTGAAACTCTTGCGTCAGTGGATAATAAGGCTTTGGCCGTCACACATGTAGCAGTGTACAGCAGACTGGGAAGGGAGGATCTTTTCAACTTAGAATAATACAGCAAATCTGCAAAATTTTGAACTCTTGCTTGTTTCTCTCAGATTAACCACACAAACAAAAGAGTATGACTAGGCTTCCTGAGCACCAGCTGCTGCAAAGCCTTCCTTTTCTTGCTCTTTCTTTTGCTGTGAAAAATGCGCAAGCACCCGATCACTCCTCCCCTGCGGCTCAGTGCCGAGGGAGAGGAGTGAAACTAACTTTTCCAGTTTTGCCAGCTGTGGTGCGGAGCTCAGGGGCTCCCAGAGGGGAGTGACAGCTGAACAGGTGCTGAGAGACAGGTTGTGTCTAGAAGGGGTGAAATATAATGAGCTGCATTTGAGTATTAGTTAAAGACACTCTAAAAACCCTCAAGGGTTCTCCTTTTTTCCTAAATTGCGATACCTTTTTTAAAACATGAGATAAAGCGGGTCTCTAGGGTTGCGGCGATGTCTTCCCCCTGCAGTTTTTAAAATGCAAGAATGGCTGCTTTCATTTAACAACCTAAGCAGGTGTCTTTGCAGGTGACAATAGCCATAGAAGATTTGAATAATTCAGTCTGTTACTTTCCACTTCACAATAAACACTGGGACACACTGGCAATCTCAGAGGCATGGGGGGACCACGACTTAGCCAGTCAGATAAATAGGATGAACTTTTACTTGCTTTTTCTCTTGACCCTAATGCATACATCACTCTCTCTAAAGCTCCCAATTGGTTTAACGCACATGGTTACGTGCTCAGGGACAATTGAACTGGGCAAATGTTAGAGGTCTATGTGAAAAATGAGGAGATCTGCATGATGGGAGATCACAAAATTATTATTTTTTTAAATCCATTCCAACCTAAAAAAATGAGCAAACTCATGTAACATTGTACTACACGCAGATCCAAAATGGAAATGAAAACAGAAACCGAAAAGAAAACCGCATCCTGTGTAGATAATCATCAGGTGTGTAGAAAGATTATTTGAAACAGAAACATCTCGACTGAAACTAGGCCGAAATTAAAATGGAAATGCTTGAAATGCTAAATTAACTGGAACGAGATCAACAACAAAAAAATCCAGTGAGAAAGTCCTTAATGGGCTTTTTACATGTCCAATTTTTAACATAGGGTCATTGTTAACTTAGGATTAATGTAATCCTGGGTACTCCCCTTATCTACGTGACCAGAATGTGTCGGTGTGTGCATGTTACAGGAGATAAAATGCCTTGGATTAATATCAAACCTCTGAACGGTCCTCCAGGTTTGATGAATTTGGTGCTGTTCTTGACTTTATCCTCCTCTGCTTTGGTCACGCGCTCTTTGGTCACCTGGTAGGAGTCATTGGTGGCACATACTGTCATTTTGTCTTGAATCGTTCCCAAGGAGGACAGATTGGGGACCCCAGAGCTAACAGGCACAGAGTAGTTAAAAATGAAAAACAACAGCAAAATGAGCAGTAGTTTTTGACAAGAAATTTACTCTACCCTTACCTAGATATGTACTGGTGGATACACTCAAAGCTTCCTTGAGGATTGTCTTTGCCGTAGTTGGACAGATAAAAGTCGAAGTTTTGAGAGCCATCGGAAGCATCTGTCGTTGGGATTTTAATGCGCTGAAGGGGTGGAGATAAAAACAATTTTAATTATTTGAATGCTAATAGAGGCAATCATCATCATCATCAAAAAATAAATAAATCTACAACTAATATTAGATTGCTACCTAGACAGTAATTTAAAGCATCTTTTTATTTTTTGGCTGTTTCAAAAAGCAGTCATCATGCTGCCTTATACCTAGTTTTGGACACATTTTAAGGTAGCATTGCATGTATCCTTCATTAAGTAGGCAATCCCACAATGACAATATTGCAGATGGCAGAGTTGAGAGAAATTACAGTTATAAATGCTTTTATTTCACTCAATACTGATAACTATTGATAAAAATAGTCCTGTCTGACTACTAATCACCAATATTAAAAACGTAAGCTTAAAAAATTAACAAATTAGAACTGTTGCCTAACTAACTGAGATAAAAAGTTTAAGTTGAGGTACTAAAAAAAAAAAAAAATTGGATCTAAATAGAAATATTGAACAAAACAACAAAAATTTACAACAAAAAGACAAAAGCACAACCACCATAACAAAACAAAACAAAATGAAAACATAAAAATTCAAGATTTTAACAAACACTACATATTATATACTATAATAGTATATAAATAATACTAAAACAACACTGCCAATCACCTAAGTCATTTCATATATTTATTTTCTGTGTTTAGGGTTATTAGCATAGCAAAATGCTAATGCCAAACTATTGGAATCAACAGTCAGCATGAGTCAAGTCTTTTGACCATTTCTCATGAAGAGCACTATTTGCGATGTGCTTGACTGACAGTTAAAGGAACTGGCACCCATGTAGAGCGTTATAAATTATTCACCTATGAGGATCCGTCACTGTTGATGGATCTTGCCAAAGACGAGCTACCGACAGCTACAAGGCAGTTTTAGAACAGACTCATTGTGACAGAAGAGTCAGACTGCAGCACAGACACTGGTTAAGTAGACTATGTATTTAGAGAGAGTATTCATGGGCGTAAAACCGGAACCGTACTCGCCGACCCAGTATTTATAGTCACACAGCGTCTGAAGTAAACTACAGCATGGTGCGCAGGGTCAGAGGTTAAACGGGTGCTTTCAGTGTAAAAGTGAGATACCTCCCAATTAAACCACAGAAGGCTCAGGGCTCTCTATAAAGACACAAAGTCCACAAGGGTGCTTTGATGAGTAACTCAGACCCTTCAGCCAGTGATGATACTCATTCAGACGCTGTAAAACTCATTCCACAGGCAATGGAAAGTCAACTTACCCCTTGAAGACCCTGAAAACGTATCGTCGCCTGTGGGGATGGTGCATTCTGGAAAAGATGAGAATATTCAAATGTCAACAAATTCATAAATGAAACCTGCCGCTAAAAAGTCATTTAATCTAGCAAAACATTCAAATACAAGTGACCAAATGGGTATCTGCTCATTTAATTAAGAAAAACTATGAAATGCAGGGAGATTAATGCAACTATAATGCAACACAGCATACTTTTCATACTATTTCTGCAGCATGTAGTATAGTGTGCAGTTACAGTATGTGCATTTTCTGCATGCATAGGTTACCAGCAAGACCTACTACTTCTCTCAAAATGTGCAGTTTACAACTAGACCACACTGCAAAAAATACCATATCCCTCAATGCAAGTCACTCGACTTGAACTTTCAATTCCACTTGATTTTATTTTACCGTACATACCATGTTTAGAGTACATTCTGTGCAGAATTCATTAAATTGTTAAAGGATCAGATGCATAGACCAAACTCTTTACTTCCCAGCAACCACACACCTTTAGTTATATTCAAATACTTCCCAAAGCCTCCTCCATCTGTAAAGGCTTGTTTAACCAGATAAGTTTCACAAGCCCCCACCCCCCCCATAAGCACACTTGCACACAGACTAGATCAGATCACATTACACAGGAGTACGAAGAAGTGCGATTAAACACTCTGATGATTTGGAAACCTAAACCAGTGGTTCTCAACTCTTAAAACAGGGTTGCACATCTGTGTTGAGTCAGGGTCACGGACACAATGCTAAATGCAAATAATAAAACACCACTTTCCATTTAATCGTGCATAATTAAGATAGTAAAATTCATCCATTTGCATATTTCTGGGCTATGCGGTCCAGTGTAATTTTAATACATTTCAATATCTGACTTTAACGACTTTTTGGTGCTGCTTCGTCAAGTCGCAAGTTTCGCAACTTGATGTCCAACATAAATTTCGCAGCAAAACCACCATAAACCACAAGTGACAGAAACAGGCAATGTAGTTAAAACAGCTTCCTTAGTAAATCAAACATTAAAAATAAATACAGACATGCTTTTGCAACTTGAGATCTATTATCAACATTTAGGGCCATGAAAGAGATAAGGCACAGCTCCAGGATCATCACTGAGGTTCACGCATTCCTTGTCTTTGTCCCGACTATATTGTCCCATTACAGAGAGACGAATAATGAATGATTAACCACGAGCTCAGCTAAAAACGGTAGCTGAAAGACAAACAGATTTGGAACATGACAACATGTGCCAAGACACTGTAAATACCAAATTCTGGTCAGTGAATCAAGCTAGCTGAAGACACAAAGCACATTAAGCATTCTGTCTATTTTGCAGTATAATGCCAACGGATGAACTAAAGTAATCCCTTACTATTATCTGGTTAATATAGGAGGACGCTAAGCCCTGCATGATATGATCACTACAGTACATTCTTTACACTAACTCACACTTCATACACAAGATTGTTATCTTATGCAACCTTCTGCATCATAGCATTTTTCAAACACGTTAGATATTGTCAACTGAACGGCAAGTACTTTGCTCGAAAACTAAAATATTCATAAATCACCTTTGTTGACTGAAATAGTAACATACTTAATATAAATATTAGATGAAAATCTTCAACTTAAGTTAAATGAATATTGAAATGTTACCTTGGCGACTGAGAAAAATAAGTACTAAAACTGATTTGAGAATAAATTAGAGATGAATACAAATATTTACCAAAAAGACAAAAATGTCATACTAGAACAAACTAAAATTAAAGTAAAAAAACAAACAGAAGATCTATATAAAAAAAATGCTCATTTAAAATATTAATAAACACTACAATAGTGCTAGATTAAACCAAAGGAATGGCATGCGTGTTTTGGTGAGCTCTGAGCTTAAAGGGATAGGCTAGTTCACCCAAAAAATGAAAATTCTGTCATCATTTACTCACCCTCAAGTTGTTTCAAAGTCAAACCTGTATGAATAAAGGTATTTTGAAGAATGTCGGTAACCAAACAGTTTATGCGCACCATTGACTTCCATAGTATGGAAACAAAATACTTTGGAAGCCCCACAACTGTTTGGTTACCGACATTCTTCAAAATATCTTCTTTTGTGTTCAGCAGAAGAAAGAAAGAAATTCATACAGGTTTGGAACAATTTGAGGGTGAGTAAATGACAGAATTTTCATTTTTGGGTGAACTATCCCTTTAAGACTCATTCAGCTGGCCTCACCGATGGTGTGTTGTAACATTTTGAGTATCAACCAAACCGCAAGTCCTAATCAACAAAGACAAACAGAAACATTGCCAGTCTAAAGCAGCCAGGAACTTGATGGATTATGAAGCTAAATTTAGTCCCAAACAAGCTTCAAGGTTCAACTTAACTCTTTTGAGAGGAATTCCAAACTAAATGGGTTGACTAACTTTATAGGTGGCCTGGATCAGATGCATTAGGTGAATATCCAATGATCATTCACAACCTAAAGCAAATCTTGGGCCTAAACGTTTAGCTGGATTTGGCCTTCCAGGATTGACCGAACCATCTCTATGAACCCGGTGCACAGTTTTTTTCCCCCTTCTTTTTTACAACGGGCCAGCTGTAGCTTTAAGTCAAACACTGCCTCGTAAGCACTTTGAGCAGTGTAGAGCTTTAAAAAAAATCCAGACAATGCAGCTCTTCATTGAAGCTGCCTGATTTCTCCTAGTAAGCCAGTAGAAACTCTTTCAGGCTTTTAAAATGATAGAAATGCCCAGAAGGTCTTTTTTGTTTTTATCAATTTCCTTATCTTAGTGACATAGGCTAGGCCTATTCATTACAGTTTTACACATCTAACTCACGCATTGTACTAGGCTACTACTCACTTGAATGACCCAAATGGAAAGAATCATACACATCGTTTGTGGTCAATACTAGTTTAGGAAATTTTATCAAAATTACATGAAAGATAATTTGTGCACTATTAAAAATGTACAAGCCAAAGTAATGGGTTTCCCCACTTTTTCACATGCCACACATCTAAGGCAAAAAGACTCCTTTCTGATGAAAAATTACTTATCTACTGTGTTTTTTAAGATAAATATGGATGCCTAGCACATGATAAACGACGGTTATGGTATAAAACGACCATTTATCTTAATAAATCAAACTCCTCAGGTGTGTATAACTCTTCCAAGCTAACTAGCTAGCTCAGCAACAATATTTAGACGTTAATAAGACAAACTTAGTTGTCATTTGGTTTCATTGTGTCTCTAACCCATGTTTATTTGGACTAAGAGTCGTGAATATAAAACAAATAACAAAAATATCGCCACATTTATGAACTTAATCACTGTTGGAGGACTGCCAGCTAGAAACATTAGCCATGCTATCAGCTAGCTCACCAAACTTTAATTTTTGTCAAACCCAAATACTTTTTCGTATGTAACACGAAATATTTACTTTACAGAGTCTGTAAACCAACTAAAATGATCAAGATGTCGAAATGACAGACAGCTGAATCGACGTTATTCGTTTGTATAGAAAGTTTTATCTAACCGTTAGCATTGTAGCTCATATTTCGAGGATAAAACACAATAAAACACACAACCTACACAACATCATCGCTTTATCCAGTTTATATAAGCTCTAGCAATTACTGAGACTTCATAAACGTATACAAATTCATTAAATGTGGTTTTTAGTGTTCAAATTACATGCAGAGAGTTCATAGCAGGTAATGGTGTGTTGGCATAATGCTCACTCCCTAGAGTCTTTTTTCTTTATTAAAAAACATTTTCCAATCAATTCTGCCAGGACATTAACCAACTGAAAACATTTATCAACTTTTAAGAGATGTTCTATTGTTTAGAGAGAAATAAAACATGATTATTTGACACTAAGGCTTTTTGTGGGCGAGCAAGCTCTCGCTGCTCTTATCTCTCTATAAAACTGTAAGTTTTCCAGCACTCACCTTACAGTTTTGGTAATTTTCTAGCGCTTTAAAGGCTGATTCTGTCAGTTTGACATGTAAAACTGATATTCTGTCGCTCTTGCGACCACAATTGAGTCCATATGTGCCATCCTCGCAGAGAGCTGCCATCATCTTCACCAGCCCTCCACCATAGTCCCTCTGACATACGTGCAAACTCTCTCTCTAATGCGGACACAGAGGGAGGGACCTTCGCAAAAGTAAGTTCCTTTCTGCTCTATAGCAGAAAAGTGTTAGAAAGATAGGAGACTAGTTGGGTCTTTTCTCTCAGTGTGTTACTTTGTTAGAGAGTTTTACTTGCTATTTTTTTCCTCTATGCTTCTTATCCTGTTCCACAAGTATCCTATAGTATTTGTATGATGATCAGATTTATGTTTGTTATTAGTAAATTTACAAAAGTAAATACTAACAAAAGTTAGTATTGTTATTTGATAAATAAAATATATAAAAATATAACATTTCTTGAAATGTTTCAATTATTGATAGATTAATTAATCTGCTGATATTTGGACATTTTGAGTTTAATTATGGGTCATTAAGCATTAGCTGATTGGTAGTTAACCTTGTGTCAGTTTCAAAATCAGCCTTGTCAATTAACAATCAACATTTTCTGTTTTTATTAAGTATTAATTAAGTATTGCAGTATTACATTTATAATGTATTATATAAAAATGTAATAATTGTCATTTAAATCCAGATATTTTAATTTGGTGTTATTAAATTGTGTATGTATACTATGCATATGTTTATGCTTATTTCCTCTGTGCTTGTTATTTGATAAATAAAAAAACATTTTAAAAATAGCAGACCTTGAAATGTCCTAATTATTTGTAGACTGTTGATATTTGGCTATTTTGAGATTAATTATGGGTCAATAACCACGTCCAGTTGGCTGATTAATGATAGTAAATCATTGCTGAATTCGGAACCGCATACTAGCATACTACTCTTACTATTTCTGTCATAGAAAGATATGGTAAACGTAGTACGAGTAGTGTCCTAGAATGCGGTTCCGAATTCAGCACGTGTCATGTGTTTCAAAATCAGCCATGGCAATTAATAATTAACATTTTATTTTCAGAATTTTTTTGTAGTGAATTTAAATCTTACATTAAATATTCTGTAATTAGTTCATTAAACTTCAGTGATTCTTTTTAAATTATTATTTTTTTAATTTGTTTGCTTTTTCAATCTGCGCCCTTGCTGTAATTGAAAGGATTATCAAACACAAAAACAAACTAACTACAGTAATTTCTAATTACAGTATCCAGTTTTACTTTGGTGAAAAGGTGTGTTTTCTCCACTGCTGCTAAGATTGGAGTCAGATTTGGTTTGCTGTCATACTTACCGCTCCCTGTCTTTACCACGGTATTCCTGAAAACACTGCTACATGTCAAACAATTTGGCTGGTTGGGTCCAGCCTGCAGGTGTGTTATTGCACATGTCTCAGTGTTTGTTAGTAGTACCAGACTGCAGCCATTTACAGTAATCTGCAGGAACAAGTTGAACAAGGAACAACAGTTTCCAGAAATATTTTTTACAACTAGGTGTGACAAATACTGCATTATTCATAATACAGCAAACAAATCAAGCCTGAACATGAACTAAGTCTGAAGGTATAGATCATCTAGACTGGATTTGGCCAAAGTGTCCGCTGAGAAGGTCATTCGTGAGCCAGCCTCGTCGTTGTAAAACTTGTTTGGCAGCTTCTGGCTATTTTGCCCCAGCATGCACACCTGCTGTGTCTTACAGAGTCACACTCTGGGATGGAGTGATTATGCAGAGTGTTTTGGTGTGGTGCAGTAGTTTTAGGTTGGGTGCAGGGAAGCCACTGTGAATCCTTGAGATTAGGCCTGCATAAAAAAAGCCTGCCACACCCTTGATTAAAAACTAGTTTATTTAGTGTTTTAAAAACAGCCCTGCAATGCATGCTGGTCCAGAATGCTACACAGACAGAGTAATGGGATTATATAAGATGTGTTTGTAAAGGGACATTCGTAAAGTGATGAACGGAATGAGTATTAATTAAGTGAGTGTTAATGAGTTTCTCATCATGCTGATGCATCAGTGCCACAATGACTGAAGAGTGGAAACATTCAAGGACATTAAAGTCACTGCATCTGATTACATTTCCTCTGATTTCCAAGGCATTGTTGACACATTGTTGTCATTGTTGATTCCTGCATGTCTGGACTGCTTTTTCATAAACCCTCATGCCGCTCTCGAACACAATACAGAACAGGCAGGACTGAAGCAATTTTGGTCACCTTTGATTAATAAGAGAAACCATGACTTATGAAGTAACACATAGCAAACAGAGAATTCTTCTCAGATAATAGTTTCCAAACAGATGTCAACAGTGTAATTTTGTCTGTTTTTATTTCTCCAAATAAATTTTACATGAAACATCTGAGACAAAGTTGATTAAATTAAACAGAACTAAAACCACCATTAAGCTTTGTAAGCACAAACATACTATCTTCCTCAAGGAAGTCTTTGGTTGTGTTTTCAACAGATATCTAACATTGGTCAAATGGGTGTGAGTCTGTGTGTGTGCAGTCACCTCAGCACTTTCTGCTTACTTTAGCTGCCTGCATTAGATTACAGAGTTAGATTGTGGATCTTTTGGCATTAGGACTCCATGTGGGACTGAGACACATGTCTGTGTCCACAGAGACCAAGAAATGAGAGAGAAACCCACCTGGCCTTGTAAATGTGGAGGGTTGAAAAGGGTAGGAAAAATGGATAAACATAGCACAAGATAATGCCAATGCTGTTGTGAAAGAATGAAAACAAACAGTGTCAATATTTTAGAAACAACAACAACAAAAAATATTACATAAATTAATTTTCCAGGTTATATTAAAAGCAATATAAAACTCTGTTTTAAAATCATTTTAGCCCTATGTGTTAGCAAGACATTAGTCATCTCATTTCATGAGTTTCACTACTGCAAGCGTGCATTAGAGCAAATTTACCCCACGGAAACACATCAGTAACACATGAACAAGAAGGTCATTATTTTACAAAAGTATAGTTTCATCTCAAATGGTCCATTTAGATGATTTTGTACAAAAATCAATTTAGTGCATATAAGTCTGGCATGCAACCTGACATCTGTCTGCAAAATGTCGAAGAATTTGATTGGACACAATGACCTTTAACTGTCATGCTCTGGCTTGGACGGACACAATGACCAGAACTGGTAAAACTCAAATTTGCATCTGTAAGCTAGGTGAGGAAATCAATTCATAAACAGGTAGGTAAGAGATGATACTTGAGCTCGTTAGCAGATGATATAGAAACTTGTATTGTTGAGTTTAAGTCCTTGTATAATAGTTGGAACACACACCGTGATAACGTTGAGGCAAGGGTGGACTGGAAGGTTGGACGATGGGAAATGCAGTCTGTGACATGAACAAACGGGAAGCGGTTTATTTCTCCCTTTTAAAAGTCGATAAGCCAATTTATTTTGCCATCCTAGATATGCACTATATAGGCCTATGTTAGTTGTATTTTCCCAGTCAACAAAAATACGTTTTACTAACGGTCCCATTAAGTTATGAAAACATTGTTTTTTGAACATTCAAAATGTCCCCTTTTTTTTAAAATCTTGGTTGTGCATCAAAACGTTTTAATGGAACATTCCATTTAATAATTTTGCGAACTTAAGTAACTTTTACTTTTGAATGTTCACTAAACATTCTGAAACAAGTAGTAGGCTAGGCTAGGCCTATAATCTTTAAAAATGTTAGAATACCAAAACTTTTTCCAAAAACAAATTCCATGAACGTTGTATAAATAATTTTTGCTACATTTTGAAAACACCAAAACGAAATAACTTTGAATGAACGTTCTGTTAAAGTCATGGAAGAATCTTTGTTAATAACTTTGAGATAACCTTGCCAGAACAATCGCCAATGTTCCCCATTAGCTGGTATTTATTTTGATCTAGCACTGTGAACCAATTTTTTTGAGAAAAAAGTTGAGAAGCGCAGCTGGTTGAAAGCATAGACTGTAAAAAATAGGTTGAAAGCCAATCACTGACGAAACATCAGACTGAGCACGCGAAATTGCCGAAATGCGAAACTTTTTCGCACAAGCATGCGTTTCCGGTCTCCAGCATTCGTATGCATGGACGTCAATGGAACGAAAAGTGTAGTGTGACCGCCTTTTAAACCATCTAGCAACCGTAAAAATTCGCACTTTGCGCTCTGTGGATGTTGACAAAGCAATGAATTAGTGTAGAGTGTACAATGCACACCAAGTGCCATGCGAGGACACACATAGGCCTGCTCTTGTCAGAACAGGCCGTCTCTCAGGAAGGACATGACGAGTTAAGTATAGGTGATGCCGTTGTCCCGCGCCGCTTGTCAGTTCCTTTTCAGTAATTTCCGGCGTTTTAGAGGCCTTGAAACGGCAAGCCCTGTTAATGTTTGACCATCATCTGGGAATACAAGTGGCAGCTGCAATGGTTCTTATCACATGAAAACACTAATGTATGAGCCTTATCTCCCTACAGACACAGATGGCGTGGTCGGTCTCATGTTTCAAAACAGAGGCAAGTCTCTTTTTTATAAAATAAAATACTGGCCCATCTGTATAATATGGTGGTACATTCTTCAATAAAAGTCTATGCATATTTTTCACTCATTGAATTGTCCAAAAGCACACCCCTCCACACGATTTGAGATATCTTTCATGTAGCATGGTAATCGTTTTAGCTGCCTCAAGTGCTAACAAAATCGTTCTTGAATTTTTGCAGAAAGTCCACAGGTTATTGGAATATCCAGTGTCTATGTTTGTCTGTGTGAGGCCATAATCTCCCCTGCATACTGTTGTTGTGGAGCTGCATAATCTTGCGAAGCCAATCTCAGCACATTTTCATAACTTCCAAACACCTTTCACGTCACCTCAGGCCGGATGGAATACCACAACATTCTGATGATTCCAGAAAAAATGCAAAATGCTTCCTCGTGAATGCAAAGCAGAAGATGAGATTTACAGGGAGAGAGAGAGAGAGAGAGAAAGAGAGAGAGAGAGAGAGAGAGAGAGAGAGAGAGAGAGAGAGAGAGAGAGAGAGAGAGAGAGAGAGAGAGAGAGAGAGAGAGAGACCCTTCCTCCTTCATTCCCTTTTATTTCTCACCCCCACCAACTCTCTTCTAATTCGTACCTGTTCCATCAGTTTTATCCTAATGTTTTCTTTTCATTTTCTGCTTCTTAACTCTACTTTTCCTGTTCTTTATTTTATGTCCTCTCTGCTGGTTCTCTCACAAAATATCTCGGCTTCTTTCTCATCATCTGACTGGTGGAATCTGTTTCACTGGCTCTCGTCCAAAGCAGCCAGATTTGAAAAGAATCCAGGCAGAATAAACTCTTGGAGGACAGTTTAGCAAGGAGCAAAAGAAAATAAGAGAAATGAAGAAAGTCTAAAAGACACAAAATTGTAATCTATTTCTTAACAATCTTTAAAAAAAGTACAATATGCTAATGTAATGTATCATTTCACCTGTTTCATAGGCACATATTGAGCTTGTTAAAGGTAAAGTATGTCATTTAGAGTGCAATAGCATACATTCAAAAAGGAGGTCCAGAATACGTGAAGCCAGATGAAGCGGGAAAATACAAAAATAAAAATGTAAATCTATTTACATTCCAAAAACAGATTGTCACTAGCAAAACTACTAGCCTAAAATCTACTAACTGAACTATTTGGAATTTATACATTGCAATATGATGAAATTTATTTACAAAAAATATGCAGTCAGAATACACAGCTGTTTTGAATGGCTGTCAATAGATCTTAGTCAGATTAGATGCCATATTGAATTTAAAGTCCCCATGAAATCAAAATAGAAGTTTTTGGGATTTTAGTATGAATATGTTAACCTGTTATCTATAGTGTGCTCCAAAACAATGACAAAAATCGCATTTAGTCTCTCACTTCTGCCAATATGGATTAATGATTTCAATGACATCACTCTGCACTTCTTCTCATCAGACTTTCTGTCAAATCAAATGCTCTCTAGGATCTAAAGCGCCCCGCCCCCACATTATAAATAGACACTGAAGCTGCAGCTGAAATCGGTCACTTGTTTTACACGTTTACTATTTTCAACATGGTGAATGGCACATAGTACACTAGGTGATAGGGAATGATTCAGACATGTAGTGTAAATTTGCTTTTCCATTGGGGCGAATAAAGTCTGGTTTAACTCTGTTGTCACGCGAACTGCCGCAGCGCGCACACAGTCTGCTACAGTCCAGAGACACTATAGCACATATGTGCGAGTCTGCACAGACCAGGAAACGTATCGGATTTGGACCCATTAGAATTCTGCACAGAATGCTATATTTGAAAGCGATATGGACTAGATTAGGAGTAGACACGGTTAGAGATTATAGGAGGAAACTGGGGCTTTACCGACCTCAGCGGCTCTGGCCGAGCTGTGATATAAATTAAACACTATTGGCTATTTTTAAAAGGGGGAGGAGCTGTTCGATATGTTCCACCCTGTCTTCCTGTTTCAGTGGAAATTACGTCAACAGTGAATAAAGCAGCACATTTCAAGGCACTTCAGTGGGCATTTTCAAAAGAAAATTTTGACATCATTTACTCACCCTCATGTTGTTTCAAACCTGTATGAGTTTCTTTCTTCTGTTGAACACAAAAGAAGATATTTTTTAAGAATGTTGGTAAACACAGTTGACGGTAGCCATTGACTTCCATAGTATTTTTTTTCCTACTATGGAAGTCAATGGGTGCCTTTTAACGCAGATGAAAATGAGGCTGTGGGGGATAGACGTAGGCCTGCGTAAGTTAGTCTTTACAATGACACACACAGCCCTGACCTTTGCTGTTTTAGTGTGCATTTTGTGTCACAAGATGGCGCTATGTTTCTTTATGAAATATCAAACACGTAAGTCTTTATTTAAACATGCAGTGGGAATATTAAATCAAAAACTAAACCAATTCTGACAGCCCATCAAAGCAAAAAGCTTGCTTGATTAAGCCAGTGTTCGTTTGATTGATTTGACGTTTTAATTTGTTATGATCACAAGAACAGTTCAGGTTTTGACTCGCTAATTTACTGATTTTATGCAATTGGGTTGTTGCATGTCCTTCAGCAAGAATATATTGGCCAGTTTACAGTTTATTGAGGTATGTTTCGACATGCATGAGGAATAGCCGTTAAAGCTCTCACAAACCAGAGATGTTTGAATTATTAAAGAAGTGAAGCAGGAAATGAAGTATTTACTCTCTTTCTCAACATGTGTGGAGGTGTCATTGAAAGAAAGCTCTTCTGCAATCCAACATGCATCCATAAAAATGCATCATGGTATTTGAACTTTAAAAATTAAGAATGATTATTGAGAGAGTCTAACACAATGCATATACAAGAAATTTGCTTGCAATATTAATGTTCAGTTTATTATGATAAAAGTCATTTCATATCGATATACATTAAACTATATATTTTGTAAACAACTTTGGACAGAAGCGTAAATTGGTATAAACACCAACCAAAAAGGTGTGTGTGTGTGTGTAAACGGTCACTTTTTTGTTGTTGTTACCTTAACACATTCTATTGGATCAGAAGATCAGGCTACAGTTACAGCCACCAAACCTGGCCTGGCTCTTTTTAAATATAGGCTACTGTACAATTGATAATTTCCTCCACTCTGAAAAATAAAATAATAAAAATTATGTGCTGAACCATGACAAACATTTATTAAATCATTTCTTTTTGACAAACTGGCATTTCCAACAATTTCAGATTATATCTTTAAAAAATAAAAACAGAACTGTGGTTTCTGAATTACTTATGCATTCAACTTAAAAGGTAACTTAACTAAAAGGATAAACATTTGCACTAGGTTGTGCGAAAATAGAATAGAGCAGGAACATTCAAGCCTGTTTTACAAATGCAAATCACAGACAATCCCTTTCAGAGCATCATCACAACAGCTGGATAAAGTTTATTGGAAATAAGTCCAGAGACATTCAGGCTAAAGGTACAACAACATATACTCATAAGAGATAGGTAGGAATTGCGATTTAGGCTTATGAGGTAAATAGTGATTTAATATATTAGGGTTCTATATAGATATTACTTTGTGTACTCATAAACTACTATGAACTCTTAGAAAAATAAAACTTTATCTTTGTTTTATGAATTTTAAAATACAAAACCAGTTGATACGTACTCAGTTGCTTGGGATGTACAACTCACTTTCCCATGAGTTCTAAAACCATAATTTAACTATTTAGAGGTCATTTATAAAGCAGATGTTTCTAGAGAGAGCAGGGGAGAGGTACATGGTAACATTTTTGCTAAAAAGGGCAGAGAAATTTAGGCTTCAAGGTGTCCCACAGGTACATGTTCTCGGTACTGTACAGTTTACTGAATGATAGTTCTCTAAATATATAAATGCTGTCATCATAAGTGTTACAGTGATCTATAAACACTCAGTAGTAGAACCAGGTGTTACTGATGTCTTTTAGTCTAAAACAAGGTTTCCCAAACTTTTCTGTCTGCTGAACCACCTATATGACCTCAATTATAGTTATTATATATTATACAATTATATATTACAAATAGTTATAGTTTTTGTTAATGTTTTGTTTTAAATTTTCTTTTTATATGTTGTTTTCACTTTAAATTTACTTAAAGTTTTAGTCATTTTGTTGTTTTGTTATTTTTATTCGTTTTAAAAAAAAATATGTCTATATAGTTTTTATAAATGTTTATTTATAATTTTAGTTTATTTAGTTTATCGAATGTTTATTTTTTCAAGTAGTTTTTTTAGTTTTAGATAACGATAATAATTTAATTATAATAATAATAATTGATAATAATAAATTAATAATAATTTTTAGCAAATTTGAGTATTTTAGACAGTGATCCCCTTCAATACATAATTATTAGCTTTAATTATGAATTTAATCATTTTGAATGGTCACGATGCTTCTATCATCCACCCAATTTGGAATAAAAGAGTGAGTATATATCTTTGTAAGTACAATTTTGTTTACAGATAAAATATTTTTACAGGAAAAAGTTTCCCAGTGCACCTTTTATTTGGCATTGGGATTTCTATCACAATCTCACAGACTCCCTGTAGTTCCATCACTAATCACCCTAGAGGTCCATACAACCTGGTTGAGAAACCCTGCTCTAGAAAAACAACAGTATAAATAATAAAAATGCTATCAATCTGACCTGTGAAAAGTGGGTGTTTTATTTCAGAAAAGAACCAGGGACGGATTGAAAGAGAAATTTGTGACATCAGTCAAAAAATTATGTCGTTATATTTTGGTAAAGTATTAAGACAAACATTTATGTACTTGGAATAGCTTGCGCTCACAAATCGTGCACAAGAACGTGCATTGAGTAAATCGGGTCAGTTTTGATTTCATGTTAACTTTAAGGACTGATTCTGCGAAGAATGAGAATTTCCCAAATCTTTACAATTTACAATCATCATCTTTATAGAAGAATATTCTCATAAGATCCTAATGTAAACGTTTTCATAGCATGCAAAAGTTGGTGGCAGTGAAGGCAACATGAGAAAAATCATCAAGAGGGCAAAGGGCAAGAGACGCCATGATTGGTCCTGTCATTGGTTTTATATCGTAGCAACCTGGTTCAAAACTGAGAGATAAATACAGCTGGCTGTTCACCACAGATATACAAACACTCACACTGACAGACACAGGCCTTAGAATGCTTATACTTGATAACTACATGTGCAGATAAAAACAAGCTTGTCTGGAAGAGAACAATATGCCATGTTCCTCTCTGGATCTCATTTCATCACCCTTAAGTCCCTCTATGTACCATTTTACTTCCTATCTTGCCCATTCGCCCTGCTGAAAAGACTAGCTTGTCAGGTTCACCAGCTGCATTTTAGAAAGTTGCGATGCATAACTTGCTCAACTTAAATACCAAGACCAGTTTAACATGCTGTTTCACAAACAAAACCTTCACGATCCAATTTTTGCTGGTGAACAAGCATGGCTATTGCTGGGAATCCGAAAGGCCCCGATATTTTTCAAGCGAAATGAAGAAGAACGAACTGCTGCGATGTCATTTCAAACAAAATCAGGCCAGTTCAAAACAGTGAACTTCCTGGTGTCGGGATGTTTGCTAACAGTATAGTGCTGCAAAGGTATTTCGAACTTCTTTTTACCCCCACAGCGAAGAATGAAAAAGTATATTGGGGCCTTAAGCTGGTCTTTTCAGCAGGGCATCCGGCTTCTTTTACCTACTCTTCCAGTCCTTCATTTTCCGTCCCGCTGGTCTCATTGCTGGTCGTCTCCGAGCATGTCAAACAGCGCCTGAAGCAGCCGGTCGTCTCTGTGCCTGTACGGTTGGGCTCTGTAGAAGTTGTCGCTGTAGTCACTGAACAGGCCGTTTTCGGAGCCCCTGTAGCGGTTCAGCTGGTCAAGGGCCTGGTACAGCTTCTGCGGTGGGATCCTTTCACGCTGAAAGGTCTTGGGACGAGCCGCCAGAACCTGCGGAGGAACCGCCGGCATCTGCCTGTTGAAGGCCGACTGGAGGAGACGCAGCAGGGCCAGATTGGGAGAGGAGGGTCCTAGAGCAACAGCTGGATTTTCCTCTGGGACACTGAAGGAGGCAGTGGAAGGAAGTGAGTCTGGATCCATCGGACTTGAAATTTCAGGTTTATGTGCTGGAGTCGGAGGTTCCTGCCGGTCAGAGAGATAGGAGTTAAGACTGGAGTAATTGCATACCACTTCTTTCCAACAGGTCCATCAGATGCATGCAAATAACAGGACAGAAGACAACAAAAGCATGGATCCACAACTAATGCCATTTTTGAAGTTCGATGTTTGGCCAGAGAGTGTATGAATTGTTAACACTCCCCTAGTGAAAAATAAATACACCAAAATATATTTGAAATACATTTATTTTATGCTAAGTACACTACAAAAACATTTACATATTGTGTACTTCATATAAATACCCTGCATTTTTCCATTTGGTATACTTAAAATCTGCTAAATTGGAACAATTAATTTTGTACTTAATGCACTTTAGTTATCCGGAAATGGTGCTGAAGTCCAACTAAAGATATACTGAAGTATATTTGATTGTGCTAAAGTGGAACTATTGCAAGTATACTTTAAATATCTTGAATTTAAAGACTGACTTTATACAATGATAATTCTATCCTTACTAAGAGTGATATTAAAACACATTTTAGGCTTAATATTAGGAAATGTGCATTGTGCAATACAGAAGTACTCCAAATAAAGTTTAATTATAATATTTATATCAGTAACCCTCAAGCATTATGTCAGTAAATATGTTAATGCGTTTGTAGTATACTTAGTATGAAATAAATATATTTTGGTATAGGTTTTTTTTCACTAGGGTCAGTATAGAAACTGTAGATATACAGTATTGATAATATGTCAAAAAACCTAAATTTCAATAAACATTCTTCTAAAGTTTTGCTCCCTTTCTGACCTTGATCATGTCTTCCATCGGTTCCACTCCTCTGCGATCGTTTTGTACAGCATTGTAGGGCAGGTACACCCTCGCCATCTTCATGTGGTCAGGCTTCTCAGATGTCCCGTGCAAAATCAACTTCCAGCTAAGAATCTGACCCTCATTCTCCATCCGTCCTGACTGTTAGCAAGAGAGAGAGAGAGAGAGAGAAAGAGAGGGAAATGGATTGTGATTAGCAGACGCTCCATGTGCATTTGATATTTGTTTGCGGAGATGCTGATATGTACCGTATCAGTAATCTTCAGGGTCCAAGTGCCGGTGGGATTCTCTCCCCAGGAGTGCACGGACATGAAAGCCCAGTTTCGGAAACCGTTGGATGATGTGTCCCTCTCTCTCTCCGCCAGCAGGACTGTGGTAGTACCTAATGGGACGAACCCAACAATCAGTGTTCTCATTCTCAAATGTGCACAAGCTAGTGTTTAATTTTGTATATGTCTCACCTGACGGAGATGTCAATGTGATGTGGAGGTCTCCTCTCCGTGTGTACTCAATGCTGACCTCCACCTGCACATGCTCCAAGGACACCACAGAATTCGCCTGTCCTGCGCAGGACTTAGTGGGGATCTCGATGGATATCTCTCCTGCAGCCTTCAATGGTCTGTATACAAAAAAAGTGTTAACTGTTAAACATACTGTATTTTTTTGCAAATAGTGATTCATGTAGCTCGACAGGCAAAGCATGGCTTTTACACACAGGCTATGTAGGAAGTGGAATACTAGTGTACTTTGAGCAGCAAATCAGCATATTAGAATGATTTCTGAAGGATCATGTGACACTGAAGACTGGAGTAAATATGCTGAAAGTTTAGCTTTGCCCTCACAAGAATACATTACATTTTAAAATATTTTTTAAGAATAAAATTTATTTTAAATTGTAATATTATGTCAGATTATTAATCAAATACATGCAGTCTCAGTGAGCATAAAACTTATTTCAAAAACATTTTTTTTTTTTTTTTTTTTTTTTGTGTATTATGTCTCTATCTACACAGTAGCCAGTTTTTTCACATGATGAATTTAGAAAAGATGCTAAAACATGCTTTTATCATCAGCTTCGATCACTGAGTTTGAACATTATTGAAGGGATTTTTCTGCCCACTGTTCCATAGACAGATATGCATGAGTGATATGAACTATAATCCCTGCAGATTACATTGAAAAGCACAGATTTTGCATCAAACAAGAGCCATGGTGATAATGCGCACCAAATGGTAAAACAACGGCGGATGGATAGGGATGGGTGGGTGGATGGATGGATGGACAGACTCTCATTCTACAGTGTTTTAAATCAGGTGTAGCAAATATCAAAAATGCCAAGTGCTTCGCAACTAGCAGCTTGTGCTGTGTGTGATTGTGTGGCATTCTATAAACAACATTATAATGTGTGTTGTGACATTTGCATTAGGACATCCGGTTATAGGGAAATTCAGTTCCAGGAAAATGAAACATCTGTTCAGGTGCAGTTTTTCTAGCTGAGCTTTGTCTGAACACTAAAGCTTCACAATCTTTAGAGTTTTTATGACGTAAATGTAGGTGGAAAAACAACGCTCTGGTTATTGAGTAAAAACCGGAATGGATTCCAGTTCTAGGTTCCCAAAATATATCTTCCTATTAAATCCTTCTGTAGGAATTACAAAAGCTGTTGTAAAGAACCAACAGATGGCCATAAATGCACACGCACACACACACACACACACACACACACGGAATCTATTGGATTAATGTGTCTATTAATGAATTTCCATAGCTGAGCGCCGTAGCAGATGGCAGGAGATCAGGCTGGCTTTGTCTTCCATGCGTGAGGTGCAACACCACTGCCTTGTCTCTTCTGAAAAAAGCAGAATCTTCTGCGCCTAACATTTGGAAGCAAAACTCATTAAACTCTACCTTGGTTGGAACGTCTCATCTCTGACGATGCACTGTTTCTTCTCCGGAACATGCTTCCAGACCTTGGGATCAGCCAGGTCCACCAGAGCCTTGGCGTTCAGGAGGCCAAACCCAAACCGACTATTGACCATCAATCCAGCTCCGTTCCTTTTCCAGCCTGGGTTATTGGCCAGGGGGTCAAACTCAGACGTCCAAACCACCAAATGCTGAAGGTCTCTCCAGGTCAGATCAGGACTAGGGTGGAGGGCATGAGATTAGATGCAAATTTTTATTGAAATGCACACTCAAACAATATTTATTCCTAAATTTAAGATAACATTTTTTATTTGAATGGCAAATAAAATTTCCATCCATTTTATGCTTATTCTCATCGATTGCATTCCGAAAGTATGATTATTTAAATAAATAAAATAAAATATGCAAATAGTGAGTAATAAACTATGACATTAGTGCAGAAATCTTACCCGTTTTCCTAAACTTTTTGTTTATGCATGACTGATAAATATGCATGACATTACATTTATTTTAAATGTTTATTAATGTGTAATCCAAATGGGTGGAAATTTTAAATGCTATTCGACTCTAATTGACTCTGAAAATCCAATGAAATCCTACAAACAATATAACATACAAAATGCAAGATGTTTGACATACTTTTGCTCCAGAGCCAGTGCAAATATCCCAGCAGCCAATGGGGCAGATGCAGACGTGCCAGTGTGTGTCTCTGTGCATTCATTGTGCAAATCGGCACTAGTCTGCAAGACAACCAGATAAAAGATTAAATGCCAACATAACAAAACTCAATAGAAAACAAGCAAACACACCAACCAAAAAAGACCCAAAACTGTCAGACAATCTATTTTTATTAGTGCCTTAAAATGTATTAATCGCGATTAATCGATTGTAACATAGCCTATATAATATATACTAATATATATATATAAATATATTATATTTACAAACCTTTATGTAAGCAGCACTAATTGATTGCAATAATTTATTGATCCCCAAAGAGAAATCCAGTCACTTGATACAAGGGAAATCAAAAGCAATATAATAATTGAGATCATAAGAGCAAGAAAATGTATAAGCAAAGACTCACTATTCTCTGGTCCGTGTAGTCTCCGCTGCTGTAGGCTGTGGCAAGCGTAGAGGAGCATTTCTCAGCGTACCACGGAGACAATCCCTGCTGAGACGCACTGCTGATGGAGATGGTGTAGAGACTGTCTGTGTATCCATCACAATCGCAGTTGTCGCCCTGACGCCCACCGTTACCAGACGCCCAGACGAAAATGGAGCCCTTCCCACCACGCCCCTGGAGTGAAAACAATTATTTAGACATTAGTAGATTATAACAGGTTTGTGCTAAGCGATCCATGCCATAAGCACAATGCATTAGCTGGGTGGTTGCTAGGGTGTTCTGAATGGTTGTTAGGTGGTTGCTAGTGTGTTCTGGTGGTTACTAGGCTGTTCTGGATGGTAGTTTTAGATTTGGTCCAGTAAAACCAATTCCCACACTTCTCACCTTCTGGATACCATACTCAAAGGCTTTCTGGGCCAGACGCCCGGGCCCCTCCACTGTCTTCCCGTCATCGTTAGGGCCCCAGCTAGCACTGTAGATGTCCACGTGGTCAGGGTTAAAGCCAATCGAACTGGCTTCAATGGCATCTGTTACGATTCCATCCAGCATTCGTATTCCTGCAGATGGAAAGCACAAAAGATTAACCTTCATGGAGAGGTCAAAACAATCTACTGTACAATTGTTCATTGTGTTTGAATTGTCACGATTAAATGTGCTGCTGTAATGTTATGACTCACTAACACTTATATGTCCAAGTGGACATGGACAGGTGGGGTTTGTATTTGTATGACTGGTTGTACAGGTCAGTGCTGTTATATAATCATGTTGTCATCTCATTGTTGTTGAATACAAAAAAAAGATACAGAAAGTGGACAAACACATTTTGACAACACACCTCCCACTTTCGAGTTAAAGGCCACTCCGACGCCACATTTGTTGTTGTCTGCTTGCATGGCAATCTCTCCGGCACATCTGGTACCATGCCTAAGGGGAAACAACAGAGAATAGGGTTACAATTCAGTTCCAAATTTAATATAGCTGGCATGTTCAAAACCCATTATATCTAAATGTGTGGACCAACACAGATTTGCAAACATGGTTACATAGGGGACTGGTGTGTGGTTGCTAAGGTCTTAGTGGTTTTTAGGGCATTACTACACGCTTTGGTGTTTTGTACAGTTGCTAGGTGTTCTGGCTGGTTGCTCTGTGGTTTCTAGGGTGTTTTGTGTGGTTTCTATATGGTTGTTTTTGTGTTCTGGGTGGTTGCATGACAATAGTGTGTTTTGGTGGTTGACAAATGGTTGCTAGGTAGTTGTTAGGGGGTTCTGGCTGGTTGCTAGGTGGTTTCTAGGGTATTCTGGGTGGTTGCTAGATGGTTGCTGCATTTGGTCTGACTATCAGCTTGAAGAAAACTGAAGTTAAGTACCAGAAGCCTACAAAAGACACTTATAATCTACCTAAGATCACCATCAATGGCCATCCTCTGAACGCATTGGACCAATTCACCTATTTGGGAAGCATCATTTCAAAGGATTTAACAATATTCAAGGACGTGGACCACAGACTCGCCAAAGCCTGCTCCTTTGGCCGCCTCCAAAAATGTGCCTGGCAGAACCGCTCATTGCGCCTGCTGTGCACTCTGCTGTGTGGTTCTGAATCATGGGTCCTGTACAGGTCACATCCGCCTGTCGCTGTTCCATTATGGAAACTCAGTGACAAGACTTCAAGATAAATTCAGAAGTTCTGGAAGAAGCGGGCTTGCCAAGCTTTGAGAATATGCTGCTACTATGTCAGGTTCGCTGGGCAGGACATGTGTTACGCATGGATGATGAGAGGCTGCCAAAAGCAGTGTTCTATGAGGAACTTTGCCAGGGCAAGTGAAATCGAGGAGCCCCACGCAAGCACTATAAGGACCAGCTGAAGCAACAGTTGATACAAGCTGATATTAACCCCCAAGACTGGGAGATACTGGCATCTGATAGATCTGGCTCTGGCTGCCAGGAAATTTGAAGAACACAGAGTGAAAACTGCCCAAGCGAAGCGTAAACGAAAGAAAGAATTGGCTGCACAAGTACCCAACGACAGCAACCCGACCTTTCCCTGTCCCATCTGCTCTAAAGTCTGTAAGTCAAATGAGTCTTTGTAGCCAATTGAGAGCTTGCTGCCTTAGACAAAATCCTTCTCATTGATCTTCGGACAGAAGGAATACGCCAAGAGATGGTTGCTAGTGTTCTGGATAGTTGCTAGGTGGTTGCTAAGGTGTTCTGGGTGGTTGCTAGTGTTTGGTGGTTGGTAGGTATTTTGGGTGGTTGCTAAGGGGTTGCTTACTGGTCCAAAACACAGGATATAGTTTATGAGATGTTTCTAACCATTTAATTGTCTGCCAAGTGAAAATCAAAAGTCCAGTCTCTTATAAAAGCAATCTTTTCTTAAGAAGCCATATGATTTGAGACATCATATCATGCACTATGGGTATGGGTATCAATATTAATGATGATGCTAGGCTTGTTCATATGCCTTATCCTGAGTGTAAGCAATAATAATGATAATGCTAGTTTTAGCAATCACCAATAATATTTGTAATACCGGTAATCACAGAAGGAAAATAGTACTCAGTGGCTGATGTCAAAGATTAGACTAACAATGGATAACTGTTGAATTACATTACATTTTGCAGGGAGTAATTTGCGAAAATGTTTTCTCTTGAAAACTGTTAATGATTATTTGTTTCCCTCCTTTGTAATAACCATCATCTGAAACACTAATGAGCTGTTGATGCATTTAACACGGTACAGACAATCATATCAAAGCACTTTGAGCACAGTTGACAAAAGAATATATTGATATGGGCGGGCGAGAGGTTGAACGAGTTTGCATGTGCCTTTATAAGTGTTATGAGTGTTTGTGTGTGTGTGCGTGAGCAAAACAAAAAACTAGCTGCAGAGTATGAGTCATTCACTGGCATAGACACACAATCACATGGATGAAGAATAATGAGTGTTTCTATTTTCATGACCACTTATTTTTCTGTTTCAAAGCTTCATTTTCACTAGGACTGTCAATTTATTATGTTGATTTAATTATTAAATAACACATCACGAAATTACTGCAATTAAATATGCTCTCTGACCTGTATGCAAATGTAAAATACTTCAATTTGACATGTTCTCTGAGGCACTAATGATGTGAGACACTAATCTGCATTTGTACATAAAGCAAAAAACACTGTGTGTGTATATATATGTATATGTATATGTATAATATATATATATATATATATATATTTGTGTGTGTGTGTGTGTGTGTGTGTGTGTGTGTGTGTGCGTGTGTGTGCATGCTTGTGTGTGTGTATAACAGTATAATACCTTGTCATTTTTGTAATCTATTTCCTCTGGCACAGATATGTAGTTTTGTAATATGGGATTAATTTGATTAATTAAACAATTAATTCAAAACAAAATATATATATATATTTTTAAATGCATATAATGCATATCTGATTATGCATGTATGGACTTTGATTACAAGTAATAGATGTGCATGGATTCTGATCCTCTTATGTAAGGGTATGTAAGGGTTAGGTACCTTTGGAATGGATTACACTCATTCCCTGATGGAGAACAGACCTTCTCAGATCAGACCTACTGACACTGTCAGTTCTCTTTCATAGGAGCTTAAAGATGGAAAGCAATGCCAGCTTGGTCTAATTCTCCCTGAACAGATTTAGTATAATGTTAAATAAATCTGAAAATCTCTTTAAAGAGGTCAGAAAACAACTATGACAGTCCAAGGCTTGTAACATTTCCCAGTCACTAATCAGTTTCCTTATCGCTGCATGTGGTGCTACAGATAATTGAAAGGCTAAAAACTTTGGAAAATCTGTCCTTGTGTCTTTCAAGTTTGGATCAGCACAGCAGTTATGATCCTAAGATCTCTTGAGATTTTCTGTCCATTCATCTGGAGATATTAAAGAGTATAGAGATTCATTCACTCACTTGTTTTCATTGGTGGAGTCGTATCTGGGGAAGGGATCAGGATCGTTGTCGTTAAAATCATAGCTAGCAGCAGGATCCTACATTGAGGAGAGCAGATTATTAGGGTTTCAATGATTGCAGACATTTATTTCTAGCATGCACAGAACAAATAGGCTATCAGTAGTGTAGGAAGTGTAGTGTATCAAGAAAGAGAGAAGGATTAGAAGCGCACTACTCTTATTGTTTCTAATTACACTGAATTGCAAAGAGTTTTACTAGTACATATTTACTAGTGATGTCAAATCGATTAATCGCAATTAACAAAATTTCATAAATATACAGTATATGTACTGTATATATTTATTTATACACATACGCATATTTACAAACTTTTATGTTAGATGAGATTAATTGCAATTAATCGATTTGAAAGCACACATTTTATGCCAAATTGTATAAAAATATGTTAGGCCCTATATCCTAAGATTATAACTAAATGGCGAATTATGCTGTGTTCCCATAGTCGGAATTACTGTAATTAACAACATTACAACTAAGATTATACTCGGGGCGGTTAACACACATGTCCTAAGAAAATTCTTTGTTTCTATGAAAATGCTCAAAACGTAGAAATCCAATTAAGCTTTTATAAAATGTCTCATAAACAAAAAAGTAATTCCACACATGTTTGTGTAGTCCACAGCGCTGTTTCTCCATTGTTTTTCATTCACTACAATGGACGTCTTTGACAGGCACGCTTGCCTCTTCTACAGCATCTCGCGCATGACACAATGTTCTAAAAACACAGCGATCAAATTAGATAAGTTCAACTTAAAAAAAAAAAAATGTCTTAGGACCTTGCTGTTTTTTTTACACTGCTCTGGATTTCATGCTTTTAAAAGCAAAAAACGTGTTTTGTGTGAACTGGCCCAAAACGTGAATTGTAGTTTGGGATAAATGCTGCCAAAAAGAATACATTGTCAGAAAACTTCATAATTATGGAAATTTCAGCATGGCGTGAATGCAGAAACCTATGAGTTCATGAGACAGTGTTTACAGATGCATACTTCTTTACATAAAATATTATAGTTTTATATTTACTGTGTTTGTTGTTACTACCTACTTTTATATTTTTTTGTTTATAATATTTATATGCTTTTTTTTAATGTGACCCGTAAAACACTTTGAATTTGATGTACAAATGTATGCAAATAAAACTAATTTTCTGTGTTTATTTCTATTTAGTGTGAGTGTGTGCGCACACATGAGTCTGTATTAAGCGGTCATTGCCACACTTGCCAGCATCAGACACATACGGGTCTCTTTTAAGGGTTTCTTTTTGTAAGACTGCTGTTTGTAAACAAGCCAACAGCAGAGAGACGGCTGATGCTACTATGTACTCAAATCCTAATAGGAGACAGATGTTTGATATTATCCTGTGATTTATGAGTCGTCTCTATTGCAAAAAAAGGGATGCTGGGCTCACTGCAGTCTTATGTAATTGGCACGCATTCAGACTGAATTTTTAAATAGCTTTGAATGAGCGAGTGAGATTTTTGTTTGTGGCCTTCTACACTGGAAGTCCTCATCAAATGGCTTTGCTCGTGTCGTGGTAGGTGTCACTATGGATAATCCTCTGCACGGTTGAAGGGGTAGCCGTTGGCATGGAAACTACAGCGCAGAGGTTTACGGATGGTAGTCGAGTAGGCGTTGCATGACGACACACTTACGTAGTTAGGGTATATGTCGGTGTGATTCCACTCCAGGCCGTCATCTAGCACGGTGATGACCACTCCTTTGCCTGTGATGCCCTTCTTCCAGACCGGGATCACGTGTAGATCCAATTTGGGGAGGGATGAAGACGTCCGGGTGTCTTGCTGATAGGGGAGGATGAGGAAAGACAGTTTAAGTGTGATGAGTGAATATGTGAGTAATTCAGCGTCATATACCTGAGTACCACTCAACATTCTGAGGTACTCTCAACCTCTTCACAAAGACAAAAGCCTCTTTGTATGACACATCCACTGACCCTTCCAACAAAAGCTGTTTGCTTGAAAATGAAAGCCGGCGATATAATCGCCCATGCTGACCTTTTAGCTTGTGGAGAGTATTTTCAGTCCATACTAGACCATGAGGGGATTTTTTCTTATTGGCCGATAATTAAATATCAGAGAGCTTCTGTGCAGTGTTGGGAAATACAGTCTAAGCAGCTAGTATATAAAATGCAGTTAACCGGAGTAGTGTCAAATGTATTAGCAGAGTTTGCCATCCAGTTAGGATTATTAGGATTTGAATTAATTGGAGTGAATTTAATCTTTTGATTCTATTCAACAAAATGAATCAGATTAGTTCATTGATTCACTCAGTGACTCTTTCTGTAGATCACGGCAGTGTTCGAAATCGCACCCTTTAGCCTCATTCAGTATTCCCTACTACATTAATCCACTAATATAGTTCACTTGAAGGAGTGAATGAAAAAGAGTGAGTGAATTCGGACACTGAGCGGAAGGGCTGCCGCTTCTGCATAGTTTGTGCTTGCAGTTTAATAATCATTTGAAACTTAGCAAACTGGCAGCTCCAGTAGTAAGATGAAAAGATTTATCTTGAACTCTGTCGTGGAAACTAGCATGTATAAACCTTAATTAATCAAGTAATTTAATAATCAAGTAAAAAGGAATTTATACCTGTATGATATTACGCTGTAGCCACATTGGACCAGCCGTTGGCTAGATTCAGCTGCGCATAGATTTGTATATATATATATATATATATATCTATGGTTGAGCGTACATCGGTTGTACACTCGTTATTGCGGTGCATAGTGGGATCGAATGAGTGCACTTGATAACGTCCATTGTCGTTTCTGACACTACAAATGGCTGTCCCCTCAAATAGTGCCCCATTTAAGGGTATTGGGGGCGATTTCAGACACACAGCCCACGACATATAGAAAGTGGTCACAAATGAGTGTCTTTTTGAGTATTGAGTGATTCATACAAATAAAAAGAATCAAATTAATGCTTTCATGTCATAACTATTCCATGTCCGCATTTGAGATAAGGTTGAAATTATGAGATATAAAGTCAAAATGATCACATAAAAAGTCAGACAGAAAGTCTAAATTATTAGATACAAAGTCGAAATTATGAGATCATACGTAGGCTACGGCATATGTCATAATTACGACAAAAGAAATTCAGCTTTTTATGTCAATGACTTTATGTGAAAAAAAGGGCTTCAATCACTTCTGGCTTGCTAAACTAAAGGGGGAAAAAAAGACAAAAATGGCCAAACCTACAAGCTTAAATAATGTCTCATCTATTCAGTTAATCCAAAAACAACAAGTTCCAGTCTATTCTGTTTGCTCACAATTCAGATATCTAGTTAAATTTGTGCAGATTTAAAACACCTACTCCATTAGAGAAGGGGCGTATTCACTCCGTACGCTTGTCCCAGTCCCACACAGCCTAGGCTATTTTCCTCGAATTGCTCTTTGGAGGCTGGAGAAAGCTATTAAAAGTGCTTCACAAAACACTTAACTGGAAAATAATGAACATTTTTCGTTCATTAAAAAAATCTTGTCACTTTATTCAAAACACAGCTATATGTATAGTATATATAGTTATGTACCAAAGCTTCTTGAGGCATAATAATAGTGATAGAATAAAGGACAGAGAGGAAGAAAGAGGTCTATGATCTGCTCGCGAATTATGCATAGACGCTGCAGTAACACTACCATGAAGCATGACTCATAGCTGAGGTCTCACTCTGGAAAGACAGGAGGGGGAAGGGGGAGTGAAAGAAACGACCCGCCACACATGACGGCTCTGCCACATAGCGCAATCACAACCAACGTAACCTCAGGAGGGCTGTAAACCCCACGTCACTCATCTACCACCTCCATAGCACCTTTAAGTGAGTCAAGAACTTTTAGTCAAGGCGTCTCAGATATGGGTAGGTGCATAAACAACACTCTAGCTTGATCATTGCCTCAAAAGAGATGCAGTCAAAAAATGTTCCATGTACGCAGATACAATACAAATAGAACCACACAGTGTTTTCAATACAGAGAAAGAAAGATATGATACGAGTCATCTCTTTAATTGAATTATCAGCAGTCCTCTCTGGTGAAATGTAATCTATTCACCGAGCCGTCTTTCTCCTCCATAAATCCATATGCCTCTTTTCTATCATCCCTTTCATCTCCTAAGGATGAACGTCATTCTTTCTGTCCCTTTTTAACCACCTGCCTTCACTGCATCATCACTCAAATTGACCAATGGAGCACAAGGAGACCGCCCACTTTTCAGCAGCCTTGGTTTCTGAAGCATTTTTTTTAGTTCATTTTCTCCATTCTGCATTAAAAAGGGTTAGAAGCCAAACCAAACCAACCTCTGAGATGAATCAAAGCATTACAAACTTTAATTTGAAGCAAAAACATGAAAAAAAAACTGACTAGCTAAACCTATTAGCTAATAAACTATGCATTCCTTGAAGCTTTGCAAACGAAATGATTTAATCAGAAACAATGCATAATGTAAATATATGAATTATAGTCAAGAAAAAAAATAATACTGTAAAACAATATTTTTGCATTTTAATAATTTATTGCTAAAAACACACATATATACAAAATTACATTCAAATAAATTCAAAAAAATAATTCAAATAGTAGGGAAACAGCTATGTCAATGCTTCATGGGAGTGAGAGGTCACTTCTAAGCACTTTTGGCACAATTTACGTTTATCGGTTGCGCAGAATTCAGCAATTAATCTTTATTAATAGTAAAAATCACAGAGTTGTGGTTTTACAGTAGCTTGTAGCATCACTTCACAACCTTTGAGCCCATATACATTACTGTTAAAAAATCAAATGAATGGGGTTTTTAGTTGAACTCTATTTTTCACTTTGTATCACTTTCATCTTGTTAGTCTCATGAGTTGATTGAGAATAAACGGAGAGGTTGACATCAGCTAATGAGCTAAATTTAGTGACAGGCACTGTTTAACATAAACTGGACAGGAACTTCATGAGCAATTAGGTTAAGAGGTGGCGGCGCTCACACAAACATGCTCGACACAGGAATGAAGAGGTTTAGAAACTTGTTGAAGCAAAAAGAACAAAAGGTCACTGCCGGTTCATGCCACCGCTAAATTGCGTTTTAGAGCAAAATGTTTGTCCAAAAAATTAATCCCTCAGTCGGAAATGCAAATGGAGGTTTTCAATTTTATTAGAGTGACTTGCTATATAAACCATGAGCTGTGATCCATATTAGAGCCAGCTGAATCCTTCCCATCTGTGACTGTGTGGAAGCCATTCTCTGGCATTAAGAGCTTGGCTTCCATAAGATAAACCCATCAATCCATTGTGTTTCAGTAAATTGGTACTAATGTGTGATTGACTCTTCTGTTGTTTGGGATTAAGAAGCGTTCTCCTTTACCATCTAATTTTTGTTTAGCCATACTATGAGCTCTGAAAGCTTAAAAACACTGGGCTTCAACCGCACATAGTGCTCGAGTCCAGAGGGACAACTGACCCCGTACTGAAAGCCAACAGACAGGAAATGTAATTCACCAAAAAGGATTGTTACAATGGCTTTTACAACAAAGCTGTTGATATTAATGGGTTCCGCATTTGAGCACACAAGTCCATCGGTTCTACTATTGGAAATTGTTATTTTTTATCGAGAACACATGAACATTTCAAGTCAAACTGTGATCTGAGGTTTTTAAGCAATGATATATGAGACAAGTAGACAAGTTAGTGTGATTTCAACTTCTACCGAATGACTAACATGCTGTTACCATGGAAATGAGAATTAGAGAAAACACCTTAGCACTGGCCAGTGGCCACCCACTCCTATGAAACACTGCGAATAATGTAATCGAGTGAGTTTCCATACCTTCTCAAACTATTTATACAAATATAATATATTAGTGCTGTCAAAACGATTAATCGTGATTAATCGCATCTAACATAAAAGTTACATACATACATGTAAGTATACAAACTAACATACAAAGCATACATTACACACACACACACACACACACATATATATATACACACACTTTTGTTAGATGCAATTAATTGCAAATAATCGATTTGAAAGCACTAATAAATACAGTATACTATACACACACACACATATATATTTAATAATATATATAGTATATACAGTATATATACACACACACGCACACACACATGTATGTATACAAACTTTTATGTTAGATGCAATTAATCGTGGTTCATTTTTTTAAAGCACTAATATATATATATATATATATATATATAACTTATATAATCAATGATTTATAGTGAATACTTTTATTGTTTCTGATTTGATTACATCATTCACAGTGCTTCATGGGATGAATCGTTCATTCTCTCATAAAAGAGGTGGACACTATAAAAAAAAAGCTTTTTCCAAGTTGTAAATGAAAGATTACGTTCCGTTTTACAAGAAAATACTCTTTCAGTCAATCTACCTCAAAGTGTGATGCTAAATTCAATGGATATTTGCCATTTTTGGTACATCTTTGTGAAATTTAGCAACTTCCGAGTGAAAAAATTATTTCAAAATAAATCCTACACCATATTATTTTAGTGAAGTACATCAAGGTTTAGAACTTTACAATTATGAAAATGAATGAGAAAAATCCCTCTGGAATCATTGCCTGAAAATGTTGCAGAGAAAAAGAAATTCAAACAGCGCTTTTGACAAAGGAAAATTAAGATGCCGAGACTCACTAGATACCACTGTTGGTTCCACATGGGGTCGTCGAAGAGTTTGTCCACCGAACAGTCCTTACATTCTGTCCCCAGCGGGGCACGTTTGGCCCTTCGTTTCTCATACTGCTGTTCGGCCCAGGACACCTAAAGGAGAAGCCACAGGTGCCATTCAGAACCAAGTCCAAAACGTTTATTTTTCATCTCCTACATCAAAATCACATTCAAACTGTTGTGAATAGGAATGATTTATTCTTTGTGAATATCAAACTATGAAAACACATGACATAAGCCTACATACTTCATTTTTATTGATATCTCAGATGAGTTTTTGAATAAATGCCCATTTTCTTATCATGTACTGTACATAGAAAGAAAGCAGTGCAAGCGCTTTCGAAAAGTCTCATACCCTGTCATCTTCCGACAGACGTTTTGTGATATGATCCGCACTTCGTTTGGTCCTGCTAGGGTGACTGTGCCGCTTGAATAAATAATGGTTTTCCAGCGCCCCAATCTGCAGACGAACAAAAGAGAGAATTGACTGAAGAGAACGGTTCATATTTAGAGCTAAATTAAGCCTGGTCATAATGACGCAGTTCCCATCTGTCTTGTCTAGTCGGCCTGAAGCTACTTCACAAAAAAAAAAAAAAAAAAAAATTATTAATAGGTCTAAAAAAGCATAGCAGCATACTTGAGTTTCCTTGAGTTTCTTTTCATGTATAAAACCATCTTAAGAGAACTACTGACACAACAGGTGAATTTTTAACTATATAGGCTGACACTGTGGCATGTCTGAATTATAGAAAATGTAGAAATTGCATTAAATATTTTATTGCTATCTACAATTTGCATTGTTGCGTTAAAAGAAAATCAAGATAAATTCAGATGTCAGATCTAAATAACTATCTATCTAGATTATACAAAAATAATAAGCATCCTAGTTGCAAAGCACATTCAAACATCACCCAGCAGATGCTTCAGTGTTTAATGGTCAAGCAAATTTTCTGGCAACTGATTAAACACGTTTTTCTAATGCACATTCATATCGACATAACAGATCAAATATGATCCGGCAAAGCAACAGTGTTGCTATGAATAAATGCATTACACAACATATTGGGAATATACAATTGCATGCCACACTGATACAGGTACAGATGTGTGTGAGGCAAGTGCTTTACCCCTGAAAAACACAGTGTTTGGTGTGACTTACCTGTCGGACTAATTTGTATCCGAGCTCGTCGGCGATGGATCGCGCATTGTGGGCTCCTCCTGGAATCTCCACCGCCCATTCGTTCAGATACTGTCTGTCCACAGCGGAGGACACCAGCGCACAGAACAGAGCAAGAACACTGCACAGCAACATTGGACGACATCTTTCTTCCATTTCAAATCAATTACAACCACTTAAAAATGATCTGGGTGATCACGACGAATACAAAACTATTAAATAGAAATAAGTTAACAAATAAATACAGACTATGTAAACACAAGAAATATCAGTCCAGCTCCAAAAGCCTTCCTTGGATAAAGCTAGATTCTCCTCTTAATTCTGATGCAGTGTGAGCGAGTAATTGAACGCGCATGGAAAGCCACCAATGAGAGAGTCGTGGAAGGGGAAGGGATGTTTACACGTCAAATTACGAACCGCTCTGACGTCAATTTCTACCTGGGGTAGGATGCTCCGGTCCCGGGGGAGTCGGGCGGGGTGAATTGCGCATGGAAGCGGAGGGGAATGCTTCTCTATAAATAGTCGACTACCATTATTACGCTTAGAAATTGAGCAGGAATTGAAGCTTTTGTTAGAATAACTACACGGGCATCATATGTTTGCGAACCACTCGGAGGTTCTGGGCTAGATTTTATAATCTCGTTGAATAGTTTACATCTGTTCAAATTAATATCTCATTAGCCTAATCGACTAGAAGATATATCCTAATTTAAGGATATAACTTATAATGATAAATAAGAAGGGAACGGCTGTTCAGTAGGCTAATTGTTAAATAGTTGACGTAACCGTCTGCGTCATGATGAGAAGGTTTCAGCACCGCAGCGCTGAACAGCTCCACTACACGAGCTGCGTGTGCAAAACATATCCATATTAAACACCAATGACATGCATTCCCATACAGAAATCTGGCAACATGTTAAACATATGTTTTGTAAATATATTAAGGTAGGCTACGTCACACACTCACACGCCCCTATCTATCTATCTATCTATCTATCTATCTATCTATCTATCTATCTATCTATCTATCTATCTATCTATCTATCTATCTATCTATCTATCTATCTATCTATCTATCTATCTATCTATCTATCTATCTATCTATCTATCTATCTATCTATCTATCTATCTATCTATCCATCAGACAGACAGATGGATGGATAATGGATAGATAGATAGATAGATAGATAGATAGATAGATAGATAGATAGATAGATAGATAGATAGATAGATAGATAGATAGATAGATAGATAGATGCATCAAAGACAGGATCTTTCAAGAAATCTTTTAAAAGCTTCTCAGAAAATAGAAAAATAAAAAAGAAAAGTAAAATTACTAGTTTGGTTTAAAATAAAGCGATAAAACACAAATGCAATTAATGTATAAAAAGTTTCCTAGATTTTTCAAAAGCTTTTATACCATTTTCAAAACAACAACAACAACAACTTATGACATTATATTTTGATGAGATTACACACCTTAACGAGGATTAAAACAACAATGATAATTAAATAATGATTATCAAGGGTTACTCGTTTGACCTGAACAATGCTTTTTCATAAGAAATTCCAAATATGTAATATTTCTGACCTTGAGACTGTTATATGTCATGCATGTATGAATACGGCTGTAGTGAGTAATTCGGGTTTTAGATTTCCACAAATAGAATTTAAAAACTGTGGTCCACAGAATGATTCCCACCAGCTACAGCCCTGTGTATGAATACCAAGAAGGCCGTGAAGAACAAACCCTCATGAATAATCTCACAGATTTATTCAGTCATTGTCACAATGACCCAGACAGAGCGATCTATCAAAGCTCAGTCCACTCTAGATGAACACGAGGCGCAGTGTCGTGCCAAAATAAGTGCTTGTATTAAAGAGAGAGAGGCTGGAAGCGTGCACTTTGAGCATGTTGAGACAAACACCGGTCTCTTTTGATGTCAGCATCTTTTGTTTTGTGCCACATGTCCATTTGTTGTACGGAGTTTATAAAGCTGTGCATGTCACTAGAATGCTCCTGCCTACACTTTAGCTCTTGGTATCTCTGAATAAACGGTGTTATCCAGGTGTATATCGGTGGCAGCTGTAGCCTATTTAGTTGGGCTTGAATTCTGTGGAATCGCCCGTGAATTCGAAATAAACAAACAGGACAAGGCAACTTTAAAATAGCCATTATTAAGAACGTTTCACCGTATAAAAGGCAGACGGAAAGTTGGTGTATGCTAACACAATTCTTATTCTTCAGCTTTGTACCGGGTTGCCTACCCGAGTCCAGGCTACTGAAGCATTTCCGGGTAAATTTAACATTACTTGGCTCCATGGTTTATGCGGCCTCAAGTGAAGTCAAATATTTACGCGTTCCGAGCACACGAATGACTAAGAAGTGTTTTCAAATGGAAAACTTGCAGTTGTTGGTGTGGTGATGCCCAAAACCCAGAGTTGTGACGCTGGAAGGAGCCTGTTGATGTGGAACATGGCGGCAAAGAAGGGATTCCTTTTTTTCAGCAGCTTTACAAATAGGCCTATGTCACAAAACTTGGAGCAACTTTAACAAATAATTTATGTTAGCCTATTAACTTACCTGTAATCAAAATACTATTGAATAAAACTTCAATCTCTTTGTTTTGCATAAAAACAGCTATTATGTGTGTGGTATAGGCTTAACATCTCCCAATAAATGTGTTTTTTTCTTTTGGTCTATTGAGGCTTGGGACTGTGTGTGTTCTTGTAGTGTCATACAGCAACCAAGCAACTGTCATTGAGATGAATGGGAATCCTAACAAACAGCCAGACATTGTATGAAAATAAATCATCAGGTCTGTTCTCAGAGTAGGCCTATCAGATGCACTATTGAGCAAACAGTCCATTTGCTAAAGCAGCTTCACTCATCCACGTCCACCTAGCAACACCTGTTTGCATTGAACACCAAACACGTTAGACTTTGCACCTGGAAATAGATGAGGAAGAGTATAGAAAGGTTCATGAGTGACGTGCATGTTTGTATTCTTTAAAAAGGGTTTGCAGAGTTGGACAGAGTCCTCCTCGCGTAAGACCACTACACCATCTGTCTTTGCTGCATCAACTTTGGCGGGCTGCCACTGCGCAAACCACAGACTCGAACTCAAAGATTTTCTTAGTGTCGGAAGTACTCAGTCATGCAAAACGCTCTTTTTTCCTGGTAATTTACTGTGTAATTAAAAAGGCTTCACTGATCAAACAAACACACTAACATGTCAAATGTGGAAAAACCAGATCAGCCAATTGAGATAATCTCTCACATCTGATTACTGCCACCTCATCTAAACTGCACCGTAACAGCTGGGAGTTTGTCATTAAGAGACTCGGTAACGTCAAATGGTGGATGATAAAATAGGCATATAGTGGGGTAAAACCAAGACCTGCGGAGGGGGATGGGGTGAAACAACAGGAAATGAAAGGTCTGATGGAATAATGGACACTCTGAATCAGACCAGAAGACGTCATGGAGGCCATGATGGCTGTGTAAACAGTGTGTGTGAGTGTTTAAACTGCTACAGATGAATTAAGCGTAAAACTCATTGATGAAAGAGCGAAAGAGCGATGGATTGTGCGGTCCGCTCGGTAATCATCTTTTGATTGGAAGGTTTTACGTCAATAAGCCTTAATGCCCACAGAAAGGAAAACCTGCAATGGGATGGCTACTCAAAAAATGTAGCTCTAGATTAAATCAAACATACTGTACTACAAACCATAAAAACAGTAAAATATAGTAAAGGCTACATGGGAAATGTAAGAGCCAATTTAATGCTGTCAATTTGTATTATTATTATTCTCATCCTATTTCTGTTTTATGTGCAGTACAGTATTATTTAAGAATTTATTTGAAGTTATCCTGTATAGTTTACTTAAAGTTTTCCTTGTATAGAAATGACTTGAAGTTTCCTGTACTGCATTTACTTGAAGTTGTCCTTGTATATTTTCCTTGAAGTTTTCTTTGTATAATTTACTTGAAGTTAGCTTTAAAGCCACTCATCCTTATATGTTTATACAATCATATGCTGTTTTAGAGGGATTCGGGATAGGAAGGAGGAGAAGGAGGAACAGTTATCTTACCGTCTGGCTGTCAGAAATTAGGAAATTGTCTAAATCGAAATCCAAGGAATATATTATACGGATTTAAGACATGTAAGATTCCAAAGGTATTGGCCGAAATAATTTCAAGGATTTTTCATGTTTTTGTTTTTTTGTGTTAGTGAAAATAAATGTGCAAGACTTTAACGGACTGGCCGTGTATTTTTGACGCGTAAGACACTTCAGCTCCTCCTAAAAGAAGCAAGAAAAGGTGGCTTTGGTCCTTGTTTCTAAAGGAAATTAAACTTAAAGTTTAAAGTAAATAGGCAAATGCTTAAGAGTCTATGATTGGATCATTATTGCAGTGATTATTATGTTTCTAGCATGTTATATGTTGGGCAACAGTTCTTCTAACCCTAATTGATGGAGTGTGTAGCTTTTCATTTCTTAAACAACCATGTAAGAAGTATTATTTAATTCCAGGATGACAATGTCAAAATTCATCAGGATCAAATTGTGAAAGAATAGTTGGGAAATAGCATGAAGAATCATTTTCACACATGAATTGGCACCTCTGAGTCCAGATCTTACATTCATTGAAAGTCTTTGGGATGTGCTGGAGGAGACTTTACAGAGTGCTGGACCCTTGCATTGTCAATACAAGATCTTGACCAAAAACTGATACACCTCTTGATTGAAATAAATGTTGTGATGTTCTTTCCATCAAGAGGTGCATCAAATTTTGGTTTCTTTTTAAAGGAATAGTTCAGATATTATTTGAAGATAATATTTTGTTGGTAACCAAACAGTTGATGGACCCCATTGACTTCCATAGTATGGAGGGGGAAAAAAAACTATGGAAGTCAATGGGGTCCATCAACTGTTTGGTTACCAACAAAATATTATCTTCAAAACATCTTTGTGTTCAGCAGAATAAAGCAATTCATTAAATTGAGGGTGAGTAAATGAAGACAGAATTTTCATTTTTGGGTGAACTATCCCTTTAATAATTACTATTTTACTTTGATGTAACGACTAACCATATACAATGGTTCATAAAACAGCAGTTCTTGCCAGCAGTCAATGATATTCTGACTCAGACCAGGTATTCTAATCTTCGCATGCATGCACACATTCTTTTCTTATCGCCTACTCTTGTCCTCAAACTGTGTCATTTGTCAAGGATGTGTAGTTGTCATGGAAACCTTTCTCTCCTTCTTCGCCATCTCTCTTCTCTATCTTGCTGTCAGTGCTCAGTGTCATATCAGTGACACAAATATTGAAGGAAATTAATCTGATCATATGGCCAGCTGCAGCCGGATTTATCGCACACGATGACAGCATTGGATATCTATTTTACATAAAACATGAAGGAGAAAAACTGCACAATTTACCTGTAAAGCCCATAGCTTGGGACAAATTATCAACATGTCACGTGCCGATATGGACTTCACACTTTATT